CCGCCCCGCCAGAACACTCCACTCGACGCCACCTCTCCGCACCAGACTGCCCCAACTAGCACCTCAACTCCAGACCTGCAGCGGCGTCCGCAGAACAGCACCCTTCCTCCTCCTGGTTGGCAGCGACACCAAATGTAGTGAACAAAACACTAGTTGGGGACAATCGAATGTATTTAAGCAAACATTACAGACTATCTCAGTAAATTCTGATAACCAAACGATGAACAGTCAATTTGCAAATTAACAACCAATTGTTTCAATCTTCACTGTTTCTTCTCTTATTCCATTGCTCATGCATTTTCCAAACGATTGCGCTTCATTTCAGTTCTTCGTTCACCGGTCTACTGCCAAAATACATTCTATGTCTGACCCACACCATGTACTACTTATATAGATATGAGTAGACCACACCACACTTCTACTATGATGTTAGTATTTAATAGATAATAAATTAAGAAATTACATAATATTGTCAACTGATAGTTTATTATAATCAATCATCTTGATCTTGTTATATTCATTTCAAATCAGTTGAATAACTATTAATTATTTTAAATAAAGTTTTCATATCGGTTTAATTAGTGAACTTATTAGTTATGGGAAATTTAAATTACAATTAGTATTACAGATTAGAATTTATTTAGTTTGGGATTAAAATAAATCGTCTGAATTTTCTTCTTTTTTTTTCTTTTTACATTATCAACATACATATAGTTCCAGGTTTTCCATGACAGTCCAGTTTCAATGGATTTATGATCTTAACTATTGAAATTATTATCTATTTATTTTGAACTGATTTTTTCATTATTTTATCACATTTTCAGTGCAAAATTTCTTAGGATAAAAAGAGGATATAAATTATCCTACTTAGCAACCACTTTTTTTTTTCTAGATAGTTTATAGTGCATAATATTTTTTCAACTTACTCATAGTGACAATGACTAAAATAACTACACATATTCTTTTTGTGTATAGAAATTTCATATTATTGCCTCGTTTCATGTTGCCTTAAAAAAAAATAATAATAATTTTACAAACTATAATTCAAAATTAGCAGAGATGGATAGTGGCTAGCAGTGGAATCCAGGACGCGCGTTTCGTCCTATTTGGGACTCGTCAGCTGGATGTACCTGCATCTCAGAGTTGATGTTCACTCTGGGATTCCACTATCCATCTCTGCTAACCATGCTTGTGAATTAAGGTATATCGAGGCAATACGCACAGTATGCACATATGCCAATTAGAGACTGACCAGTTGCAGTCCTAACAAATCGATGGGAAGATTCAAACAAACAATACTAAGTTGAATTTAAACTTCACCCCATCGCACAAGCAAGTGGCTATCAGGACTCAGTGGCCGAGTGGATAACGCAATGGCGTTTGAAGCGAGGGTACTGGGTTCGAATCCCAGAGTGAACATCAACTCTGAGATGCAGGTACATCCAGCTGACGAGTCCCAAATAGGACGAAACGCGCGTCCTGGATTCCACTGCTAGCCACTATCCATCTCTGCTAGCCATGCTTGTGAATTAAGGTATATCGAGGCAATACGCACAGTATGCACATATGCCAATTAGAGACTGACCAGTTGCAGTCCTAACAAATCGATGGGAAGATTCAAACAAACAATACTAAGTTGAATTTATAATTCAAAATGATACTTTTTTTATGTATCAAATTAACACCATAACAATAAGTAATTTATATCCATTATAGTGAGTTTATTTTTCTATTGGGTATTCACTTTTTTTTTAAAATAATTTAATTAAAGTTTGTTATATACCATGGAGATGTATGAATGGTAACTTTGAGAACTATTTATGGATCAATGTAATATGTATATTTCCTATTGTATAATTGTTAAGTAAGTAAACTATTCATATTCGTGTCCCTCTTATTATAAGCTTTATATTGACCTATAGATTATTATTATACGATTTACCATTCTTGAGTTATCCCTAATCCATTAATTATTGTTCCCCCTATTCACAGCTATATATGGCCAAATCTTGTTTACAAATGTTATTTTCTATTTTATGGTACGATGTGATCAGTTTGTTTGGTATATAAACCCAGTATGTTTGAGAATAATGATTCATATTTCAGAGGCTGTTATTAGTGTTCTGGACTTAACTGGCTGGGCTAGTCAGAAAGCAGGACTGATAAGTACTCAAGACTGCTCATACGGTTCTGATCGATAATTCACTCTTGTCTAATTAGCGGTCTTATCATCTTCATGTATAAGAAGGGCACGCACTCACTTAATATAATAAAATTTTTCTACATAAATAATGTTAATACAATGGTAATTACATTTACTATAGAAATTATTGTTCTCTTGTAAAGATCACTCTTACATTCTTATTTACAAATACTTGAATGAAACACTTTTAATCTGTTTGATTACCTTAAACTTTCGTTGTATTATTAATATATCCTGAGTTATATTACGATTTTGATACAAAACACAACAACATTCAACTAGTGTTACTTCGAAAGTTATTCTTTAGAAAAAATACATGAACATAAATTAAGCTTGTAAATTCCATAACACATTTCTCTAATTTGATTTAAGTAGTCGGTTAGTAGTAATAAAAGTGGCATCAGTGTTATCATCAAACTTTTACACTGAATACTTGACTTATAAAGAATTATATATACATATATAACAATTACGTAGACAAATAAATGGTAAACGTCATATTGAATAATTCATAGTTTCTGTGGTACTCATCTTGATAATTATGTACGTCATAAAAACCAATTACGTTTTATCACGTCCCTTGACTTCTGAAAAAGAAATCAGAAAAAAATAAATAGTTACTGAAATATTTACAGTGAATTAATTGTTAGTCAGTTAATTAGCTACAACATAAATGCATCGGTCAAAGTTGCCACACCTCATCAGCACAACAAGATGAACACCGGATTCATAGAAGTAGTAAATTTAGTGGTGGAAATATATAAAAGAAAGGTTGTAAATAAGGATACAGTATGAAAAGGAAGACAGATATGAAGCAATTTTAATCTCACGGTTTAAGGGAAGATAAAGTGTGTGTACACCTGCGCCACTGTGAACGATTCTGAGCCATGTCACACAGAGTCTCCAACCATTGGTTACGATAATCACGTGAACGCCAACCAAGTAATCTGCATCTACCAAAATGACTCAGACAAGAAGTTAATGACTTCAAGTACTGATGCCATGTTTTGGTTTGACCGCCCCTCTCTTTCAACCATCCTCAATACTAGTCAGCATAGTGCGTCGTAGTAATCGGTGTTCAGGCATACGTAACACGTGGCCCAACCATCTTAGTCGATGAAGATTCATGACCTCATCAACTGATTTACCATCATTCCCTAATACCCTGTGTCTAACCTCACTATTACTTACCCGGTTATCCCAGCAGATGCGAGCAATATTTCTAAGACATCTGTAAAGGTAAATTACCGAGGAGCAATTAGTTACCCTGAAGTTGATGAATATCATCAGTCAAACAAAATCCTATATCAATTGTATATTCTATGACATTAGAAAAGCATAACATAACCTTCTGTCTATGTTGTATTAATTGATCTGTAGACTTCGGCTAACATATACAACCTGAAAAAGCTATTCAGTTATCAACTAAAAAAATTGATACTACAAAGCATTGATTGAGTATCTTTTAAAACGTTACATTTTCAACCTGATTTGAACTACAATGTCAGAATTGAAATTTATTCAGATAGAATATTGAAAGAATTGAAAACGCTCAGAATCATTGGATTCTGGTTTGTATTCTGAATATGAAACATTTACATAGTTATTTGTAATTTAATATATATTCTTCATTTAGCAGGGATTAGCTTTTATAATTAAAAAAAAAGAATATAAATGTAAATTTCAGAGGAACTGAAAAACAAAACAACAACAGTTGTATATTCTTTGCATACCTTGTATAAATGCGTCTCCCGGCAAAATTCAATATATCGTACAAGCTAATACAGTTGGGTTGAACCTAAGAACAAAAAATAAACTACGTTATCATAGTTGACAAATATTAAAAATGAATAAGCTATTGAATTAAACAAAAACTAATTAGTGGATGTCGATATATCTAACTGACGAGTTTCAAATAGAACGAAGGACATTTTCTGATTTCCATTCTTAACCACTACCATTTACTATAGTCAAACATCTAACGATAGGTTTGCGATCTTTAAATAGGGTTCGAAATATAATGATGATTGATATCTATAGACCTTCGGTGACCGCCTGAAATAAGTCATATTGTCGCAGATTTATTCATTCTCTGTTTTAAATTTTAATGTTATTTTATGTTTCGTTCTTTCATGTTGGTTGCTTAATAAAATATGCACTTGTTCGTTTCTAAGCAAACTTTGATATTGGTTAGCAATGAAATTTAGAACACGCATTTCGTTCTATTTGGAACTCATCAGCTTGATGTACTTGTATTCCAGTATTGATATTCACAATAAGACTCTAAACAAGTGCCTTTTGTGGATTCCATTGTTAAAAAAATATAAAGTTTGTTTTGAAGTGCCTGGGAAATAATAGAAATATTGAGGTTTAGAAAAATAAGCCAACAAAGAGTACAGAAAAGCAGTAACTAGTAAAATCGTTTGTTAAGGCTAATTTGGCCAAGGAAGACAGATGTGTGTTACAAATATATTATGAATATAAAGACTTAGGTCTTTAGCTCGAATCCTTATATATCTTATGCTATTAGTAAGAGACGAAAGCGAAACCCACGAAGAAAGGCAAAGTGTATACCATTAACAATTTAAATTGTATATTTTATCTACTACATGACCGCTATCGATCAAGCGTGATAGAGCGGTTCTACATAATTGTTTTGATGATGCCCTTTCCCAATCACGAAGGGAGTTGTTGTCTTCTATATTTCTCAACTAAAAATAATTAAACAAGTAAATATAAACAAACAGCTTTTGTAAAGACACCTTTGTTTTATGTTTGTTATATGTTCGTTTTACAGATATTATTTGATTAAAAATCGGCTTGGAAAAACAAATCACAATACAATTCAATGGAAAGTCAAACATTAACATCGGCAACTTTATCACGTTCGGATTCTGTAGGTTCATTACTAAATGAACGTAGTTACGATGCCGAAACACAATCTCCATCTACTCTACGTTTAAGATTTAGTCCCAAATTAGAGTCAGATTTACCATATAGTAGTGATAACCAACATGATAAAAATCAAATTGATACTGATAAATCAGAGAAAATTTTTCTTCTACCTGGTACTGAACGTATTGTGAAAGTTATTAAAAAATTCACTATTTCTGACAATAATAATAAAGAATATACTGAACGTGATAATGAGGAAGTTTATGATAGTAACATTAATGATGCAGATAATGAACAGGATTTAAATAGTTTTATCAAAAACCAGTATACCAATAAAACAGAACATAAATATTATAAAACAAATGTAGTGCATAAAAGGCATAGAGTATTACATCGTTCAAATCGTAGTCATCATGAACGTCATCATCGGCGTCATCAAAAAAACCAATCTATTGATTATATTAATGGTCTTCAAAGTAGTGAACAATCTCAATCACCGGTGAGAAGAGAAACTATAGAGAAATCAAAAAATATCAAATATAAAAAACCTGTTACATCATTTCAAAGCTCAGTTACATATGATCCATACAGTAATGAACAAAAACGTGTAATCAGTCGTTTAAATTTGATAGCACCCGGACCAGCTAAATCATCTGATTTAAATGAGAACGAAGTCATGTCAACTGATGGATTTCATGATACAAGTCGAAATGTACAAAAATATTTAAATTCACAAAATACAAAGGTAGGTTTATCAGAATTAAAGGAGAGTCGGTTGTTTTTACCAATTAAAACTAATAAAAAGAACCGTAATAAATATAAAAATCATTCACGACGGAGTGAATATGAAAGTCACCACGAAAAATTACATTCATCATTGAATCGACTATATCCACATACTTCACATAACTCTGGTGTTTGTCGAAAATGTAATGTTATGTGTTCAAAATGTAATGAAAGTATTCATCATTTAAATCATTATAATAGTGAATCACGATCATTACATCGAGCTGATATGTATTGTGATCGAAGATTACGTGGAATAAGTTGTTCATCTTCATTAGATCATGAATGTCGGTTTAATTCAAGTCAGAGATATAGATCATTAAGTGGTTCGAAATTGTTTATACCATCAAGTCATCATCACCATTATCAACCACATCGACACATATGTTGTGCTAAATCAATACCATCTTTAAGTACATTAGATTTCTACGATACAAATTCCATTTATACACATAGTCTAGGATCTAATCGTCATGTAAATTTTATAGAAATTGAATATATGCAAAATGATAATGGTGATAATGATAATGAAAATCTACCTATGGGATTAACAAAAGACAAATTAAATTGGATTACAAATTTAGCACGTGAATCATTAATTAAAACAAAAGATCTTGATTCTTTAGCTAAACTAATGAAAGAAACATTAGATGAACATTTTGGCAAAATATGGCATTCTATTGTAGGCACTGAATCTTATGGTAGTCATTTAGCTACATTACCTGGAACATTGGTTAGTTTTAGAATAGATAAATGGGCTTTCTTACTTTGGCAAACATAATACTGAATGAAATTATATCCGTTTCTTGAAACTACACAGTAATGAACAATATTCCTTCTAAGTGTATTCATGACAAACTTGAATGTAAAACTTTACCTTTTTTCGAAAAAAAAAAACAATTCACCATATATATCACAGGATTCCTGACATTTTTATTGTATTTCTCATCATAATTGTTACGTAATATCAATATTATTTTAAACCATTGTATCCGTATGACTACTAAAACTTGATAGAAACCTATATCATTGTTTCTTTTTTGACTTTCTCTAATCCTTAATAAGGATTTTAAAAAGTTTTTAATTTTGATTTTTTAAACATCATCTGATAAATGTGAATGAATAAATTAAGAATGATAATCGTAGTCTATAGGTTCGAATCTGACATGGATGTACACTAATATCTTTATTACTATGATGATGATGATGATGATAATCGAGAACATAGTACTGAGTTCTTGTATTTTTATTTCATTTGAATATATCTACATTGTAATGCTGATGAATGTATTGGGATTTAAACTCTTGAGCTACTTCTTATTCATGCAATAAAGAAAAAAGTCATCGTTTGAGTAGAAAATTATAATGTTTTCCATGTTTTCTGATTTGGATTGGTTCTCTTTTGTTTTATTTTATCATTGTAATATATAATAATGAATTAATGAATTGACTGAATACATTTAATTTTTTTTATCTTTGGTTAATAAACTTTGTTTTTCTACACCAAGTGGTATAATGATAATTTTATTCGATTTTTTTCAATGGTATCTACTATTTGGAACTTCAATTCTTAGAAATCGGTCATAATCAGTATTATTTCTTTATAAGAAAAAAATGGAACTTCTACACGATACCGATCAACAACAACAATAACAACGAAAATAAAATACACATGTTTCCGGCTTTTGATCGTTTGTTTGAAGTTGCTAATGAATATGGGGTAATCATACATCAAGAGTAGTAGTTGTTACCATTAGGCTAGTGAGAGACACATTAAGTATAATGTCCTCCTGTATGAGGTAGAATAAGTGACCTTTTCTTTTTTACTAGTAATCTATAGATAGATCAATAATTGGTGGTGATTTTGTAGAAATAATTGCGTCTATCTGTAGTTAAGATGTGAGTAGTATGGTTAGTGAAAAATCAACTAATGTATAGACAAAAAACGAAAGAACACACAAAATTCACTATTTTACAAAGGTTTCAACATAAATAAGTAGGTTAGGTTAGTTGACTGTATATATGAACAGATGACCATGATATGGTACCTTGCTGATCCCGGATGTATAAAACTATCGGTTGGAATACAGTGTCGTCTCAATGAACTAAAAGGTTATAACTTTTAGTGTAATTAAACTGTCAATGATAATTATCATCTCTGACGTTAACAACTACGATGAATATTCGATCTGCGTCATTGTAGGATGAACATCAAAGCAACTACTTATTTCAAACAATCTGATCATACATATACTTGTTAAGGACGCTTATACATAGAAATAAAAAGTCGACCAGACTAGAAATGGAGGATAAGAGGAGACAGAAATAATAAAGAAAATAATGTTCATACAATTTGAAACCTCATCACTCTAGGTAATAAACTAATATTACCACGGTAGGTATAGGGTGAGAACAAACCGTTTTTCAATACATAAAGGCTTCAATAAATCTTAGTATACTGTCTTTTACACTTTTTTACAATATCACGAAAGCCGTGTTAAGATCAATCTTATGACTTGTTTCAACTATGTGTTTGGCAATAGAGGATCGTGGATGTTTATCATCTACTCTTATTGGGTCATTTGATTTTATTTGTTTCGGTAACTCTTTTGTATATTCAAAAACGGTTTGTTCTCATCCTAAACCCTACCGTGGCAATATTAGTTTATTACCTAGAGTGATGAGGTTTCAAATTGTTTTGACATTATTTTCTTTATTATTTCTGTCTCCTCTTACCCTTCATTTCTAGTCTAGACCACTTTTTATTTCAACATATAAGCATCCTTAACAAGTATATGTATGATCAGATTTTTCAAAATGTATTGCGCTAATACATCACATCGTTCTGATAGTCGTCGTCCTCCCATTACACTATGGAAATTTATCAAAGGGACAAAGTGCTTCAACTACTGATTGTTCTGGGTTTCACATGCCAAAAAAATTAAGCGTCTCGTTTTGGTTCATGTGATCTCTCTGTAGATGAATATATGAGGTCGAAATTTTTTTTACTATTTCTTATTTTTACCTCACTTTATGTCTATAATCTCTACAATACACTTAGTTCTACGAATTATAAAATATTGAACAGAATGCCTACGTATGTCAGGTATCAATTAAGTAAACTTTTAAGCATCTCATTGTTGTACTTGACAATAGCTGTGAATCTTTTTAAAGTTTTACCAGGAAGTATAACCTTGGTAATGTATCGAATGATAAGCTAAATTGAAACAACCTTCGAGAAATATGGGGAGATTTTTCATGAGTAGCTTTTTATACCTAATCACGATCGTCAAAATTTAAATAATCACTTCGAAATATATGCTAGTACGACAGAATCAGAAAATACTGGTTTTCGGATCATGATTCCTCCACTATTACAGATAGGGGAGGTACTGATAACAGTTGTAAGGAAAAATCCATTTCATAGTTGACAAGTGTAGAAGAGCACGACAGCTTTGAACAACTTTCATTGTTTAAAGCCAACCTCACCAAGATCGATTCTAAATGATTAGAAACTACCGATTTCAAGCTGTTGTTTACAAATACATTATCAGTCTCAATTTGTGGTCTACAGCTGTCTCGTCAACTAATTTAAGTTAGAGACACAAGTCACTCGACCCTAACTTGACAGCCTAAAAGACGCAAGTTGGTCATACAATCTTTGCTTAATCTTTGTCGGGATTTCCGATACCCTAATTATTCTTGAACACCTAATCGATTTTAACCATTCCACTGATACGCAAGTTGATATTAAGGTTTATAACCTTTTAATTATATCATATCTATTATTTGTTCATTTGTCCCTACGAAATTCATACTTAAGAAATTTTCACTTATATGTAAAATTGCACGGCTTGATCATGAATTCGTTGACGAGAGATCCCTTCGCTGAGCTCGGATGATTGTCTGCTTACAGTTTAAAGCTTAGAAAAAAACGTATCCTCCTTATAATTGTGTTTTGGCTTTTCAATTCAACGTTGTATTCAGATGATGTACAAATTATCACATATGAAAATAAATATAAGATACATAAATATTAAACTGGAGTCATTTGCGAGCACGAGATGTGTAATGGACATCAGTATATCGTATCGTAATGGAATTTTGAAAATTAATTGGACTATATGCGCTATCATATCTCAATGTGAGTATAAAACAATAAAATATGCTGGTGATGGAAATAAGAATATCATTACCATTTATAGAGACTCTACGGAAAATACTGTGTTTCGCATTAAGCCAACCACATGTTTCTCATGAGTCTTTAAACGGTTTTGTAGTGTTGAGTGCTATGCAAGCCCACACAGCTTTTTATGGCTTCCGGACAGGCCGATTTATGCATTCTTCTTGAGTCACATTTTGACCTCGTTAATTATTCGCTTATCAACCTTGGCCATTTTTATGTAAGCGTATGTGTGTGGACTTCTTATCTCATTCATCACATGTCTGTGACTTATTTTTGTATGGCTATAAATATCGATTCACTCTTGATTAAATCGAGTTGACTCACACGCCTTCACCGTGCACCATATTGTTTTGCTTCGTTTCTTTGATCATCTGTTTGGATCAACCATTCTATGAAATATACTCATTCAAAATTCATTCTAATGTTTGACTTATTTAATTGCGTTATTCACGAACGCGATTACAGACTACTGTTATATGCGAGGATTTACGACGTGTATATTTCGATAACGATAATCACTCGATTGAATTGAAGTTAGATCCAGGTGACTGGAGCCTCAAATGGTTCTAGACGGGATAGTAGAAGCTCTTGCCTAATGGGATTCTGTATCCAGTAGCAGTGGATCACAGATGTATCCAGGCAAAGACCTGTGTATATTTAATGAAAAGGGAGAAATATTACCAAATAATAGTGATATGATGTCAAGATTCCATAGGAATACGTCACGTTTTCTCCTAAATGATTCATGAGAAGTCGCGTGGATCAACTAAATCTACATCTACCTACTCTTAAGAAGTAAAAGGTGTGCTACAGTCCAATCCGCTATGTGTTTTCTTCAGTTTCTAAGTGTTACACTTGAAGTTTTTGTTGGGACTGAGACTAAATTGGTATTTAAAGGGATAACCAGAAAAGTTTAAAATGCTGGTTCATTAGGTCACCTCCGGGACGCCTACTCTCCAATGAGTAGAGGTTCAATGATTCGCGGTACTCCTTATGAGGCTTTAATTTAAGTCAGCGAATAGAATTCGAGGCTATACATTGAAGCTCACCCTCAACTTTGTGTAGATGCTCATTGGGACTTCTTGCTGCAAAAGATCTTGTGTGCCACAAAGCAGTCTGCTCCGCCAACGGTTCCCAAAATCTTCAAGCAACCTACAGTCATCAAGAACTACACTCTTCATTTGCTAAGAAACAAAAGGCACTTCAGGGTGGAATGCAAACGAACTGGTAACCGCAGAGCATATAGGCAATCCAAACAAATAGGGAACATATGCACGAAGGCAATAACAATAATAATAATTTATTCCCAATTAACAGTATTTTACATGAGACATGCCAGTTTGCAGGCGAGATCACATTGTTACAGAAGTTACAATTTTCGCTGTAGAAAATTACTCAGCTGGGTTAATATTTTATAAGATATGAATGTAGATGGTTTTCGTAAGAAACTTGGTGTCAGTATCATAACTGGCGGGCTTTATGAAGGCGGCGTTGCGATATGCAACTGATGGTCGAGAATAGGTCCACGCAAAGTTGAGGGCTCCTAGAAACTTCAACCTTATGTCCCTCTGGAATATCTGAGGCTTTAATAATCGTGTAGGACGAAGTCACCCGTTCCATATCTGTTTTCGGTGGCGTATCTCAGGGGGGGGGAGGCTGAAAAAGGCTGTTAGAAAAAGGAAGGACGAAAAGCAAAGCAATGTTCATGGAGGAATAGTTAAGGTATAACCACTTGGTATATTTCTCTGTCATTATGTTACTTATTAGGCAAGAGCATCATAATAGGTTAACGAAAATAAGTGTCAACATGGTATGAGTGGATAAGGGGCTATATAAATGAAGGTGGTTCAGAAAGAAGCTTGATAGTATGAGATTATGTGTAGTTATAAAACATAGTGCTGAAAACAGTAGCTCGTAACCTTTGTTATAGCTATTTACGCTGGTTTGAGCATGAAGGGCGTTTGCTGCACGTAGACGAAAGTAGTTACGACAGGCTTCAGTACCAGATAAAGCACATCGATAAGTTTGTCTCCAATCCGAAAAGCTTATTCCATCATGCAGCCTCTCGTGGACAGGCCAAAACTGGAGTTTCCCAACTGCCAGGTCCGAATGGCCCGAGCAATAACGACGGTGACGCCGCCAACCTTTTGGATAAACAACACTTTCGTGCATTCCAACCGACCCACATCAACTATACTGATGAAAGTTTCATCTTCCATTGCGCAGGACTTTCCGAAGTGAACCTGAGCGCCGACTTTGGTGTTCCGAAAACTGCAGCACATAAGAAAAGACACCTCTCCTACTTCGGATATGGTTCATTCTGCTATACTGAGGAAAGCAACTTCAATCCCGAGAACATTGTTTAGCGTGATGTTCTAACACTCGCCAAGTCGTGGCAAACTACTGGAAAGTCGGAAGCCGGCTCACATCACACCAATTTCAAAGGAGGTCGACGCAGCGAACATACAAGTTGCCGACCGGTCGCTCTTCTCTCTATACCCTAAAAAATTATAGAGTTCCTGATACGCGATGGTACACACGGAAATTTATTGCTCATAAACTTCTTTTCACCCCAACAACATGGTTTCAGAAAATGTCACTTTTGTATAACCAACCAGTTGGCTGCAGTGGACAGATCGACAACCATCCTTGATCATAAAGAGAAGGTTGACATCATTCGCCTTGATCTCTCAAAGGCTTTTGATATAGTCACCGTACATGTCTTAAAAACAAGCTCAAACGATTTGGTATCAAACTACCTCTAATTGACTGGCCCACTTCATATCTAAATAATCGACATTTTAAGGTCAGGGTACACTACACTTTCTCTCAGTGTATGAAATGTCGTATTTGGGCCCCCCCAGGATTCAGTACTAGGACCTCTTCTCTTCTTCATTCATATAAACGATCTTCCACAACAAGCATCGTCTAATTTACTGCTTTTTGCTGACGATGTCTAACTTCGGAGAGAGATACGTAACCAAAGCGATATACTAGCAATTCAGGAGGATCTAACTCGACTTCAAATTTGGGAAGACGACAACGGGCATATCTTCAGCACTTCAAAGTGCAAAGTAGTCCATCTGAGGCATTGTAGCTGTAAATAATTCCCCAAAATCAATAAATCATTAAGTGTTCGACAGTGGAGGCTGACCAAATTGTTTTAAGTGGAATTGTTTAACGGAAGGCTTTCGGTCATGCATCCGCACCAGATCACGTTCGCTAGCCAGATCAGAATAAACGCTTCTCGATATATTGATAACGTATCAAATATATCTTTCCTACCTCTTCTCATCTAACTTCTGATTTCAACTGGTTGGGGAACGCTTCGAACATAGGTGTTACTGGTTTAGAGTTACAAAACTAGAAAACTAGTCGTATCTTCAGTATGTTGCAGACTATAGTTCCAACTTAGGAAACTCCTCTCTAGAATAATCCCAAGTCGAAAAATATTTAGGTGTGTTGGTACCCTACGCCTTGAAGTCTAACGCTAAATGTGACGAAAACACCTTTTTCAGCAAACATTGCACTGGTAAAATTGAAGATCATTTTTGGCCAGTTTGACGGAAGAACTTTCCAATTCAGAGTATGGAGAGATAGTATATCTTCTTTCACCCCAGAAGGATAAGAACACTGTGGAACGTATCCAACGTCGAGCCACGAAATCAGTTCAAGGACTCAAATTCAAACCTTATGAAGAGCACCTCCAATCACTTAACCTCTATTCATTAGAGTACTGGAACCTTGGAGTTGGCTTTCTTATTGCCTACAGTGCCTTATATACTTTTGAACATTCCCTTAAACATCTACTAAATCTTAGTCACAATACTAACCAAAGGATTACACCCAGAGACCTAACATAGCAGAACGGACTGTAGACACAACTTCTACTCATTGAGAGTCGCAAATGCTGAAATTCACTGCCAACTGAGCTGGTCCATGTGACTTCTCAGAAGTCCTTTAAGAGGAAACTTGACCTATTCTTAAGGACTAAGGATAACATCTTATTAGGATATACCAATTTCTTTTTTTCCTTTATTATCGCTGATATAACTGGGTTTCGGCCTGGAAGTATTGTTGATCCACTGCTACTAGAAACGGAAGCTCGTTGAGTGAAAGCTCGTTTTGTTCCGTCTACAACCATTTAAACCATTTGAACTCATCATGTGATTTTGTCACGGTTATATTTCAAATCGAAGGTCATAGTGCGTTGCTTTTGATGTCACGTCTATTTACCCTTTCTCCCGTACTGATATCTTGTATGTTGTAGTTATCCATCTTTAATTTTAATATTAGGTGTGCGCCATGGCAGAAGACCTAGGTTTATTCGTCCATATCTGAGAGACTTGTATGACAGAAGACTTGCTCAAGGTCCAGAGATTTATCGACCGAGAAAAGATTGGCTATGTTGGAATCGTGATTCAGAACTATCTGCGTTTTTGTCCAGAATAGGTGAAAAATTAGAAAAAGACCTTATTGAGGTCGTTCTGACAGATCGGTAGTTACTGAATTGAAAATCATACCGTTTATTGAATCATAGATCGTACTCTTCCTTTTGGTCTGTAAAAAAGGCCGAATCAGACAGTAAAATAATTCAAGATAACTCGGAACTCGCTGCTCTAGGTAAGAAGTTGCCAATTACGATTCATATTCGTAGGGATTTTTGACGTGTTAAAGGACTTAAGCTTATTCGCTAACTAATATCAGTTTCATTAAGTTTGGATAAAAAAGTGATACTGTTTATGGATAGTGAGTTTCAACCGTTAATAACATCTGTCTGACAAATAATGAATATTAACGCCTTATATGTCTCAGCTACCGACTTCACAGTGTCAAACAACATGTGTTTTGTTACGCCGAATACATGTGAGACTCTGAGTAATGCAACATGTAGCCAAAACATCTATTTTTAGCCTTGTATTTGGTCTGTTAACGTTCACCAACTATAGTGGCTGTATTTACGTGGTTTTTCGTTTACTTGTTGGTATATCTAAGATGCGCAGATCACGTGATTTCACAAGTGTTTTGACTTCATAAAGCAGCAACAGTAGCGACAGAAAATTTATGTTTGTTCTGTTGAAACACTGATGTTATAAGCTTAACTATGTATTTAAAAGAGATTTCTTGGAGGACCTTGTAACTGTGTTTAATGACAAGTGTTGAAAATTAAATAAAGTGCAGTTCGAAACTCAATTACTTATAGTATATGCATCTATCTTAATCTGATACGGGTTCATATCCGGCTTGCTGTTAAAAGCTAAGAAACAGCACTTAAAGGTTAGGAAAAAAATACTGAGTGTTTACTCATTGCTCAAGCAATTGAATCCCACAAACTCATTTTGATTCGATTGAATAAGGTAAAGGCCAAAAACGTATTGATCGTCTTAGTACCTGTGTGTAATAGATCTGTTGGGGAGGAAACACAATTTATCATAGCAACGAAATTCAAACTGTTGCATTACGGAATAAAGTTGCAATCTTTAGGTTGTAAAGTGCCTAAATGATATTCAGTTCACGTAAAAACTGGTGTACTAGTAAATCAATCTCTTGCATAGTAAATGCATAATTGTAAGCACGGCCTCTGATTGTAGATGTCTAGTCATAAATATCTTTAAACCATTCTTTATCTATGGTAAGATTACCATGTAATTCTGGGATTATACGTGGGAAAATAGGTTAAAATTGTAGATCAGTTGCAAGGGCTGTGGATCTTCATCCACTGAGGTAGCTGAGTGTATGTAACATTTGCTGATCACCATTTACACCAATTTACAGTGTTGCATGGCAAACGTCTGTTTTATAAAACAGCTTAAAGGGATTAGCGTGGGAGAAAAGAGTTTGTATTTTGCTCACTTATATCATTTATGGTGTAATTTCTGTCTAAATATCTGTTTATGGAGAATTTGTCTGTATAGTTTATGCTCTTAGTTTAAAAAACCTATGTCCTATGATTAAGGCAGTAAAGTTATGTTGCTTATATAAATGCTTAGTAGCCCTTCATACAATCTAAAATCTACTTCATTAACTAATTTTTAGATATCCATGAATCTATATTTTAGTACTTGATATGTGAAACGACAAAACTCCGTTGTGCAGATGTTTCTCATAGGTTGATCAATTCGGATCGGAAACTGGCCACAAATTATCATCTATTTGATCTACATATGTCGTAGCAGTCGTATTTTATTATCTTCTCTTACATGTGTATATTATTGCACGTAGCTGACTGCAGGAACCGTAAAGTTTCCCAACAACCAGGAGTTTCTATTTACTTTTAAGTAATTCATTGTAATGTAGTTTTATACAATGTATGGTTGATATTCATCTAGTCCATATCGAATATAACATTGTATAGTGGTTTATGTTAAATATCTACTAGAACTCATAAGCTTTAGTTAATTTGTATGCTCTGTATGTTTTTTATTACTTTGTAGGATTTTCTGTTTCGGAAAATTTTTTATATCCCTTCTTGCGATCAGTTTATCCTCAATTCCCTGAAGAGTGGATTATGACTATCGTTCAATACTTGAGGTCACCTTCTGAGCTTGCTTTTATAGCCGCTCATTTAGGAATTAAAGATATAGTACTATACAGTGATCAAGTAGATTATTCAAGCAATAAAATTATATCAGCTCCACCGAATCTGGATGTTTTAGCTCATGCACTTATGGCTTTAGTCGGTGCTTTAGCAAAAGACAAGGTGAATGTATTCAAAAAAAACGTGCCTCATTTCTCCTAATTATGACTAATATTCATCCATGTTTGATTTAATCATTTTTATAAGAACTTCATTAAAATTAGAGTTAGTAATGAAATTTATTTGTTCCCTTGATTGGATAGCTGAAAATAAATACAAAGCAAGCCTGTATTTACATCTAAACTCATGTTTAAAATTCGAACGCTGTTAGTTTATCTAACAAATTATATAGTTTAGGCTTATAGCTCTCAACAGGTAAGTTAAATTGATCTTTAAGATCATGGATTTCGTATAATTCATGTTGCAGGGTTATTTGTTACCAACTCACTGTTTACTGTAAAATGTGATGCAAAGTGGTGTACGGGTAAAGATGTATAAGTCTAATCTTGAGTCAGTGATTGTTTATATAAGCTATTTAAACTTCATGGATGATGGTTATTCAGTCGAAATAAATCAGCAATTTATCTATTGGTCTTCCAATCATGTTGGTCTTGTTCATTTTACTGCTTCCATGTTGTTATGAAGTTTAACAATTTTGAACCGGTACATTTGTGCACCAGATTCTGTTTGTATTCATTAACTTATTGGTTAAAAGCCAATTCTTATAAACTATTATTTCATAACTTTATGAATATTCACAGATGTTTGGGATTTTTACAAAAATGATTAAAAGTTCCAAATGAGCATCTATAAATTAAAATTTTAACATTGAAATAAAACATTTAGTCTTCAGTTGGTAATCAATTTAATACTACAGCTTTGTTTAATTAAGGTTTTTCAATCGAGAAATGAAGAGTAGCTCTAAGCAAAATGATAAAATGCGATTACTATTGTTATTAATATCATGTCAAACACTTGAAAAGTTCATCAAAAAAAGTTGGACCTAGTTTTATTTTAGTTGCCAGTTTGTGTATATTTAAAATGTCAAAGCTTCATGCTTTCCCTAGAGATGGTTAAAAATCTAAATATGCTTTATTTCTAGCACATACTTCTCCACTTGTCGACTTCAAACTAGATGATCATGCTAGGCAACAACAGTCTTACTAAAAGCTAATAGAACTTACCCTTTTTTATATACTCAACAGTTTTTTCCCTTTATTGACTCAGACAGTTGTAACTCCGCACTATGGGACGTGATGAATTTTATTTATAAATAAATCATCACTTAGCAGTTAGTTACATTGATGTTTATGATATCCCAAATAAATAAATTATATATATATATATATATATATATATATATATATATATATACAAATATTGACAAATTTCGGTTTCAGTAATGGGTTTGTGTTGTTTGTTTAACAATCGAAGTATATTATAATCTATAGAATATGTCCACAAAAATAATGTTATAATAATTATTTTATTATTATAACTTAGATGGAGAAAGCACATTTGTTTATTCGGGACTTCATACTGACAAGACTTTCAGATATAGATTTGACGGAATTGATTTCGATTCCTAATCCATTGCCTCTTCTACAGGGAATACTTCAATCTGAAGGACGTGGTCCACCTGAAACCAGGTAATTGGTATGCACTAATTTAAAATAATGTTTTTTCGAAAACTTGCCCCTTCATTTTTAACATTTTGGGCAAAAAGATAACACGCAAAAACACATTCAAAATTCCTCTGTTTATGAAACTGCGTGTTAAAACGTTTGTTTTACGGATAAAAATTTGAATTTGATTTTATTATTTAATCAACATAGGACTTGACATCAATATTTAACAACTAAAGTCGTCACATCATATCAACACTGTAAAGTAAAATTTACAAAATGTGAATGGCTAATTGAGTAGTCAAAATAATATAGTCGTACCAATGGTAATCAGAAAGTAGACATTGAGAACATGGTTCAGAAATGAAGGAATAAAATAAAGAGAAAAAAGTGCGGGATATTATAGATTTTCAAGATTCAAAAAAGATAATTTAAAGAATTGAATGCATCTAGAGTATTGTGACTGATTTCAAGTCGGATTAATTAAATTCTATCCTATTTGTACTTATTTTTGATGCGAATTTGTGTGCTCAGGAAAAGGCTTTTGGAATTACCTAGTTGCTTAAACTGGATGATTTGATAGTAAACATCTAGAGAGATAAAAAAAGACTACCATTAGACTATACACTTTATAGAACACAAGGCTTCTGAAGATTGCGATCTACTCTTAATTTGTTTAAACTTGTCTAGTCTAAAATAATAAATTATTTATTTTGGAATATAATTCAAATGAGTTTGAAAAAATACTCAGAGCATTTCTGCGTAATTTCCTTTCTTTGAAACATTTTGTTGATTAGTCACAATCACGCCTCTTGAAATAGGAAATTCCGATTTTGTGTGAAAATAGCTCACTTTACAAGTATAGAAGCACACTGAAGAGATTGATTGAACATTGTTTTAATTCATGATATATTTCTAATCATATGTAGACACAATACTAATGTATAATTAATTGGTAAATATGAATGTAATAGACTATTTATTTGGTCACTTTTTTACAGATTACTTTATCAGTCAAGTATGAACACTGTGCTCGCCTGTTTTGAGGTTGGTATATACAGTGATTGTCAACTCGTTGGAGAAGGTAAACAGCATATTCTTAATATTTAACACATACACGGTGTTTTACTTTAGGATTTTTATGATGGATTTATGTAACCCGAAATGATGTACAACTGAATATTTGTTATTCAAGAAATAACTCATACTATAATAGACAACGAATCATCAGGAATTTAGCCCGCACCCATTGTTTGGGATTTTGAGTTTTCATAAGACTGTGTGGGAAAGTCATGAATTGGCTATTAAGCTATACTCATGGAAACCGCAGCGTGTCCATCCACTGATTTATTTGTTGAGTTGCTTATGTGACTACAATCAAAGGAAGTGTATTTAGACCTGGTTATCAGTTCTTGTAAAATTCAGGCTAGTAAATCATACACCTTAACCACTCAAACAGAAAACCAAGTTAAAGAATAAGATTAACAATAATGTTGGTAGTTATGCACTAGTACTGTAGTAAGATTTGCGGTCTAACTATTAACTGGGCACTACTCTAGATATACAAGGAGTTTTGGACAAGAAAGTCAATGACAGACTGTGTACCTACATTGATTTAGATGTGGTATACATGATGTTAATGGTATTAATGCTGGTCAGGGAAGATACCAAAGATTAAACCAAGTTGTTTTAATGTTAGTTTTAAAAAACTGTTTACTGATATTTAGTAAGCTCTTTATAAGTGCACATTGTTTAAGGGTAACGAGGAAGTAATGGATTAATAGTTAAGAATCATTGAGTGTCCCAGCTAGGAACCGTGTTCCTTTTATTTAGATTTGCGCAATTAAAACTGTACCATCACTAGTTCTAATGAACATGTTGCCTCAAAGTCGTTTTTACTTCACGAATGATTTATACTGACCACATAATTGTAGGTGAGCAACACCTGACGATATATTGTTAAAACCAATTATACATTTTATGATGTATGGTTTGTTCTTATTCTGTTACTTGAGATAAATAACAATCGAGTCGGTTATTCTTTGTGTGGTGTTATGAACAAATTATTAAGATTGATGTTTGTGATTATAAGAAGTAGTCCATGAAATTTATTATCAATTGAACCCAGTGAATTTTGAGATTTCATTCTTATACGCACAACTAGAGAGAAAGCAAGCACTTTAAATTTTTAAAGCAGTGACAAGTTTATACCTCGACCTGTTTTATAATAATAATAATTTGTCTATTTTTATTTCAATCACTGAAGCTCCTGGTGAAACGATATTAATTGCAGAAGAGGAAGCATTACGACAATCAATAAAGAATTTCTTCAAACTGACAGATGATCGTCCATCTATTCCATTGCATGGAAACTTGGACGTTTTGGGCCTTGAAAAGTTTTCTCAACCAAATATTTCACTTAATTACTATTTGGAATTAGCAGCTAATCATGCTTAACTATGCAAATAATTCCCGTTTGAGGATTGTATACTTGTACATATATAATAATTTGGTTTGATAATAAATGCATCAATATACTGCTTATTAATCCGAGGTGTTGATCATTGTGTGTTAGCATGAACATATATTACATACATTCATGTCTAGACTAAACGCTTTAAATCTCAGTTGAGCGTACTTTAAATTTATCCTGGAACAAAAGCACGATGTTTTACAAGGGATATTTGTAATACAATAATGATTAACATCGGGGACATTTTAAAATGTCTTTATTGCTTTTTTAAAGATGTCTAGGGTTAATACTCCGCTACTCAAACTGAAGTAGACAGAACGAAGATTCGGATTGGCCGCCTTAAGCACTACACGAATGAGCTAAAAATGTTCTATTTTTAACTATTTGGCTGTTGAAAACATTGAAAGACCACCAGAGTCCTACCTTTTCGCCAACTGGTTTATGTCAAGAGTCAATGAAGAAAAACTGCAAAAATAGCTATCAGTGGCACATCCAAGTAGTTGTATTGTATCATTTGAAATGTTTCAATGGACTGTGTGGGAAACAAACACCAGATAAAAAGCATGGAGTAACGAGATAGTCCCTTCTGTGTTAAGGGACGTCCAAACATAAGACGTTACAACCTTTGTCCCTGGTCAATGTACCTTCTCTCGATTGGTTAATAATAATCAATGTTTTTCTGTAAGGCTGTTTTGTGAAAGTACTAAGAGATATAACTTTTTGAAAGTATTTAACGATAAATGTTTTGAGTATCTTTTCAGATGCGAAATGTTGCTTTTGGACTATTCTAGGTTGTTATTTGCTGTAACTATGGAGTGAATTATTCAAGAGCATCGGCTGTTGTTTCATTCAACTTAAGAGCTTCGACGAGGAAGATAAACTATTGGCTGATGAAGTCTAGGTTTGAGTAGGAATACTTCTATACACGGCACCTGCGGCGCAAACCAAATATTCATCTACCTACAAAAGAACGGAAATGTTGCGGAGCGGCTCATTATGGCCGAGAAATGTGGTCTTTAGAGGTAGAAGAATGGCGACACTGGTAGTACTTAGGCAGAGATGTCTTCGATGAATACCTCACGAAAGACGGAAACAGGCATGTAACTTTGACACAAGTGGTTTCTAGGTAAACGGCTCATGAACTAGTGAGAGTTCAGTGACTGAAGTAGTTGGATTGTGCTACGTGAGTCATGGAAAGCTCCATAAATCATTCTGTATTTAGAATAACCTGTGAATGGAGACTAGAAAATAGACCAAGAACCGATGATGATAGGTCGAATCCAATCCTTTTCAAATTTTGGACACTTATGATCGTTTACTCATTTATCTTATGGCAAAGCTACTCACAGACGTCTTCGTATACCTTCTTGTTGTGAGATGTGATTGTCTGGGGTCGGAACTAAGTTGTTTCTAGCAATTTAGGGGTAACTAGAAGCATTGAAAAATATGCTGTTACCACCCTGAATAGAAAACCAGAAGTATTTTGTTATCCCGAGATTAGTTCGAAACAAAAGTTGTAAAGATAATTCGCTAAGTAGCTTGTGATGCGTAGAGAGTAGCATGCAAACGAGGCTCATCGCGCAGGAGCGGGGATCCTTGTTTGGAAATAAGACCAGGCAACACATTTGTCGTAAATAATGGGGAAAATTGTGGGACTATGTGCTTTATTTTATTTAAACACATAAATATTGGTACAAGGAAGCACCAGATATATATGCGCCACACAAATCTCATTTGATTTGTGTGAGGGCTGTGATACTGCCCAGACTGAAGCAGGTGGTTTTCTTAGGAGGCCACACCCAGGGCCTTTGACCTAAAGATCTGATCCACAAGGTAGTGGAGCATCGTGAGGAGATGCAGTCCCATGGTAGCCGGTGACCAACAATAGGTTCACACGCCATTCGTTCCTTCAGGATACTGGAGCCCATGTGCACCATTGGTTTGGAATCAAGGTTTTCCAACTTCGTGTCCACCAACCCGGTTAAAGCGCCGGACATTCGCGTTTCGTCCTCTCAATTTCGTAAACAACACCCCCGCCACGAGAAGGCAGTGAGTAGGACTTCCCTAGCAGAGGCTATATATTCGCGTGGCCATGAGAGCATGTGCATGACATTTCTTATGAGCAAAAAACAGTGAAGCAACGATAACTGTGCCGCGGATGACGGAAGAAAATCCGCGTCAACAATACACTGTCGAGAAAGATGTAGCTAAACGGACAAGTTTTGGTTATCGTCTCTTTATCCACTAGCCATGGATACCATAGACTACAATAAGAACCTCTGGCAAGTCTATTTTTCTTGTCAATAAAGTTCTCTACCCAAACCTAACTCGTTTATTACGTTAACTGCTGAATAACTGCATTTAACAATTTTGGGACTTGTAATTTATGCAAGTTTAATAATAGTAGGTACGAAAAAAGGTATAGCATTATTAAAATTAAAATAAACTAATATTTACAAGGAAATATTATACATTTTGAAAAGAAAGCTTTTACTCCATGTCAATATCTTCTTCACTTCCTGAATCTGATTCACTGCAGGTCAAATCGTCGGCATCAGTCGTTTGATCTTGAGGTAAACACTGATTAAGATTACAACCAGTTGTTAGCTTGTCTATTTTATCCTGAAGTTCGTTAGTGTTTTTATTTCTAAAAAGAAGAAGTCCTTCGTATATTAGACGTGCAACTTCTTCATGAGAGTTGTCTTCACAAATAATATTTAGTTCATCATCTAAATAATCTTCCAGAAAGTCGCTTATTTCATCCTCATGTTTGGACTTCAAAATAACCTGAGGTAGATGTTCATACAATAATCCAACTTTCTGTTCTGTATTTGGGCCCCCAGACTCCTGATTTAGACCAAGGCGCAAAGCTGTCCATGAATCCAAAATCTTTTTTGTATACAGTTTAAACAATTCCATATGATTTTAATGTTTAGCTTTTGTAAGGTTTTTGTCCAGCCTGAAAGTATCTTGTGTGATAGAGGAGTATGGGGAGCAGTAGGTTGGATTATCGATAATCAGATCTGGTAGAGAAAAGAACAAGAGAAAATAAAAGTCGATGACTAGATAAGCAAGTGAAAAGTAGTTACAACTAGCGATGAGAGTAATGGACAAAAATTAAAAATAATACATAAGAGAGCGTGAAACAGTTAAGTACCTAAACTAGGGGTTGGTAGACTAACGTCTTGCGTACGTTACATGCTAACTTTTCGAACATAACGCCTAAATATGCTACTCGCTGAAACAAGATTTCAAATTAAATATATATCTGAGATTAAAGACTCTTTCACCCTTTTCCTAACGTTTACAAACTTTTTGTAGGTAAAAACCAACTACAAAGTTTATCATTTGAGACTGCGCTTGTTATCTGAAAAGGACAGTGATATTTTTCCTCGCTAAAATAATTTCATCGTTTTGATCGCCAATTACGCATCAAAACTATTTTTCACCTTAATTGGGCTTATTCCGGTTAAATTGTTTGTCCATAGTATCGTTTCTATTAGAAAGTAATTTGTCATCGGCACTTTTGTGTACATTGGTTCTTCCTGTATTTGTTTGTACTTTTGGTTCTAACAATTTATAGTTTTTAACTCATTCTGGTCATAATTTATTCCTGTTTCTGTGTATTGTTTGTATCTGTTTTCTTCTGAAAACTTCTGGACGGTGCAAAGAAATCAATCGTCAACGCTCCCACTGCCTTTGTCCTGATGAATTTCATGCCTTGAGGTGAGTCCAAAGGATGATACCACGAAGTTCGAACAGATCTAACGCCTGCAGTTATCAAACGTTTTAACAAACATTGCTGAGTGTGGTTATATCACCAGTGCTGTTTGAACGTGAACAGCTTGCTATCCGAAATCATTGAGATGGTGAATGTTACTAAAAGAAACATTAACAAGCGTAATCGGGACACATCAAACGATGTTGCTTTTTTATAAAACAAAACTTGTTAGTGAGGATGAAGAAATAGAATAGAAATTATCTCCCTTTTAATCATACCTGAATATTTTCAATCTAATAAATGCTCATTGAGTTTGATAAGATGTTATATAACCAGCTGGTGTATGATATAAATTAATCTCTCTTAAATATTTGTCTAAGTGTAAAATGCTGATTTCTCAAAAGTAAAAAAGAACAAAAACTGAATGATCACAAAATTATTGGAAATTGATCGTTTAAAAATGAAAAGAAAGGGAAAAATACGACTGGAAATCAAATAAATTATGAAACTTTTATTTCATTTACTGAAGTGTTTTGAACAATAGATATTTCCAAAATTCATAATCCGTTTCCATCACAAATTGTCATTAACTAGAAAATTATGAATAAAAGATTAAGAGTATTGGCAGTTTTATTTTACAACCTAAATAAAGACTATGAATACAATAAAGAGTGTATACTCATTATTTTGTCGAGTATGTCTTCGTAGTGAACAGTCATTTTGATCGACAACGTCAATAGCGTTCTACTTGGATTCATTCATTTCTTTATTCTAGGAGACTTCAATATTTCTTAAATCGATTTCGCGGAACATACGTACATCGCACGTGGAAATTCTACTGAGGACCGGTTCTTCAACCACATTGAAGATCGGGGATTATTAGAAAATGTCAAGTCTTAAAATCATGGGAAAAACAGTCAGACGCCGTCGCACTTAGAGAAGGTACTTGCAAACGACGAATTCCCAGTCGACAATCTCTCAATTCTGGCTCTCTTGAAAAACAGCAACCACGCCGTCATAGCCTTCAGTTTTATCAGTAAAACTGAGCTAAGACATCCTCCGAGCAATAGGTGCTGGAATTTCAGACGGTTCGATAGGTCAGCTCTATAAGATTGTGGACTGTGAAGTTCACCCTCAACTTTGTGTAGATGCTCATTGGGATTTCTTGTTGCAAAAGATCTTGTGTGCCACAAAGCAGTCTGCTCCGCCAACGGTTCCCAAAATCTTCAAGCAACCTACAGTCATCAAGAACTACACTCTTCATTTGCTAAGAAACAAAAGGCACTTCAGGGTGGAATGCAAACGAACTGGTAACCGCAGAGCATATAGGCAATCCAAACAAATAGGGAACATATGCACGAAGGCAATAACAATAATAATAATTTATTCCCAATTAACAGTATTTTACATGAGACATGCCAGTTTGCAGGCGAGATCACATTGTTACAGAAGTTACAATTTTCGCTGTAGAAAATTACTCAGCTGGGTTAATATTTTATAAGATATGAATGTAGATGGTTTTCGTAAGAAACTTGGTGTCAGTATCATAACTGGCGGGCTTTATGAAGGCGGCGTTGCGATATGCAACTGATGGTCGAGAATAGGTCCACGCAAAGTTGAGGGCTCCTAGAAACTTCAACCTTATGTCCCTCTGGAATATCTGAGGCTTTAATAATCGTGTAGGACGAAGTCACCCGTTCCATATCTGTTTTCGGTGGCGTATCTCAGGGGGGGGGAGGCTGAAAAAGGCTGTTAGAAAAAGGAAGGACGAAAAGCAAAGCAATGTTCATGGAGGAATAGTTAAGGTATAACCACTTGGTATATTTCTCTGTCATTATGTTACTTATTAGGCAAGAGCATCATAATAGGTTAACGAAAATAAGTGTCAACATGGTATGAGTGGATAAGGGGCTATATAAATGAAGGTGGTTCAGAAAGAAGCTTGATAGTATGAGATTATGTGTAGTTATAAAACATAGTGCTGAAAACAGTAGCTCGTAACCTTTGTTATAGCTATTTACGCTGGTTTGAGCATGAAGGGCGTTTGCTGCACGTAGACGAAAGTAGTTACGACAGGCTTCAGTACCAGATAAAGCACATCGATAAGTTTGTCTCCAATCCGAAAAGCTTATTCCATCATGCAGCCTCTCGTGGACAGGCCAAAACTGGAGTTTCCCAACTGCCAGGTCCGAATGGCCCGAGCAATAACGACGGTGACGCCGCCAACCTTTTGGATAAACAACACTTTCGTGCATTCCAACCGACCCACATCAACTATACTGATGAAAGTTTCATCTTCCATTGCGCAGGACTTTCCGAAGTGAACCTGAGCGCCGACTTTGGTGTTCCGAAAACTGCAGCACATAAGAAAAGACACCTCTCCTACTTCGGATATGGTTCATTCTGCTATACTGAGGAAAGCAACTTCAATCCCGAGAACATTGTTTAGCGTGATGTTCTAACACTCGCCAAGTCGTGGCAAACTACTGGAAAGTCGGAAGCCGGCTCACATCACACCAATTTCAAAGGAGGTCGACGCAGCGAACATACAAGTTGCCGACCGGTCGCTCTTCTCTCTATACCCTAAAAAATTATAGAGTTCCTGATACGCGATGGTACACACGGAAATTTATTGCTCATAAACTTCTTTTCACCCCAACAACATGGTTTCAGAAAATGTCACTTTTGTATAACCAACCAGTTGGCTGCAGTGGACAGATCGACAACCATCCTTGATCATAAAGAGAAGGTTGACATCATTCGCCTTGATCTCTCAAAGGCTTTTGATATAGTCACCGTACATGTCTTAAAAACAAGCTCAAACGATTTGGTATCAAACTACCTCTAATTGACTGGCCCACTTCATATCTAAATAATCGACATTTTAAGGTCAGGGTACACTACACTTTCTCTCAGTGTATGAAATGTCGTATTTGGGCCCCCCCAGGATTCAGTACTAGGACCTCTTCTCTTCTTCATTCATATAAACGATCTTCCACAACAAGCATCGTCTAATTTACTGCTTTTTGCTGACGATGTCTAACTTCGGAGAGAGATACGTAACCAAAGCGATATACTAGCAATTCAGGAGGATCTAACTCGACTTCAAATTTGGGAAGACGACAACGGGCATATCTTCAGCACTTCAAAGTGCAAAGTAGTCCATCTGAGGCATTGTAGCTGTAAATAATTCCCCAAAATCAATAAATCATTAAGTGTTCGACAGTGGAGGCTGACCAAATTGTTTTAAGTGGAATTGTTTAACGGAAGGCTTTCGGTCATGCATCCGCACCAGATCACGTTCGCTAGCCAGATCAGAATAAACGCTTCTCGATATATTGATAACGTATCAAATATATCTTTCCTACCTCTTCTCATCTAACTTCTGATTTCAACTGGTTGGGGAACGCTTCGAACATAGGTGTTACTGGTTTAGAGTTACAAAACTAGAAAACTAGTCGTATCTTCAGTATGTTGCAGACTATAGTTCCAACTTAGGAAACTCCTCTCTAGAATAATCCCAAGTCGAAAAATATTTAGGTGTGTTGGTACCCTACGCCTTGAAGTCTAACACTAAATGTGACGAAAACACCTTTTTCAGCAAACATTGCACTGGTAAAATTGAAGATCATTTTTGGCCAGTTTGACGGAAGAACTTTCCAATTCAGAGTATGGAGAGATAGTATATCTTCTTTCACCCCAGAAGGATAAGAACACTGTGGAACGTATCCAACGTCGAGCCACGAAATCAGTTCAAGGACTCAAATTCAAACCTTATGAAGAGCACCTCCAATCACTTAACCTCTATTCATTAGAGTACTGGAACCTTGGAGTTGGCTTTCTTATTGCCTACAGTGCCTTATATACTTTTGAACATTCCCTTAAACATCTACTAAATCTTAGTCACAATACTAACCAAAGGATTACACCCAGAGACCTAACATAGCAGAACGGACTGTAGACACAACTTCTACTCATTGAGAGTCGCAAATGCTGAAATTCACTGCCAACTGAGCTGGTCCATGTGACTTCTCAGAAGTCCTTTAAGAGGAAACTTGACCTATTCTTAAGGACTAAGGATAACATCTTATTAGGATATACCAATTTCTTTTTTTCCTTTATTATCGCTGATATAACTGGGTTTCGGCCTGGAAGTATTGTTGATCCACTGCTACTAGAAACGGAAACTCGTTGAGTGAAAGCTTGTTTTGTTCCGTCTACAAGAATTTGAACTATTTGAACGGAGTATATCACGTTTGAACTACTCAAATTTTACTAGCGCTAATTGTGATTTGTAGGTCAGGGGTTTTCGGTGACCTTGGTAACTTGCGATCCGAATTTCTTGTCTTTTATGCTAAAAAAGGTCAGGAAACTACTAGTGACTTCAATACTAACCCAAGTTGAGTGGCCTCAAAAGTCCGTGTTACATGATTAACATTTTGAAATCAATACGTGTAAAATGTCACACTGTTATGCGTTTCCTACTATGAACTACACTTGACAGCCCTGACAATGTACGCGAGCTCGAACACTTATCTTGACGTGTTGATCATGTATTTCATATCCCGCAATAACAGCCGGTGACTGCAGCCACTATTGATGCACAATTCACCAACTTACTTTTTGTACATTCTTATTTTAGGAGAAACAGAAATATTTTAATTGGATTTTTATCATCAGAACGCTTAGGTATTTCGACGATCAGCGCTTTCTTAGTCTTTTTCAGCAGCCTATCCTTGCCTTTTTTGAGGTTATTAGGAGTTTCATAAACTAGTAGCTTTAAACAATTGAATGCCAAGAAAGAAAATCATTATGTAATTCCTCTTCAAAACACCAGTTATATTGGCTTCCCATCTTATGGAACGAACTTAATCTTTTGGCGTAGTGTTAAAGAACGATAGTCAAAAAGATAATTGATATTAGTAATAAACCCTAATCACACTGCCTGAATGTTACAAAATTCTGTGTTCATTTTAGAATAAGAGTTAATTGGCATGATTATAATTTATGGACGACTTTGAACGAATCCTATGTGACCTCGAGAAATATTAGACAATTAGTAAACAGGCAGTATAGAGCAAAATATATATTATGCAAAACCAAAGAATTTAAGTGGATACACTTCTTATATATGATCCAAAGACTTGCAAAGGTTAGAGAGAGGTTCAAAGGTTCTAAAATCGTAATGCATAAGGTGAAGGAACTCACTAATATTAGCTCCTTAACAGTTGATCCCTGGAGGTCGCGAAAACCCAGTCTCGACCACATAGCTTCAATATTGTTTGTGTGTACACCGGTTGTGTAAGTTTGTAATTTTTATTCCGCATATATCTTCAAAATACTCATATCGCTGAACAACCGAAGCTCACGTAACATCTGCGATTATTGCAGCCAATGTTACTGGTGCTTTTATTATACAGTTCACGATAATTATTGTAATATGCCGTAGTCTCAATCTGGATCGAGAGAAAAAGATTCCTATTCTAGAAAACGTCTTCCTTCATTGTTACATCAGAGGACAACATCACGGTAGCCTGCGCAAGGTCTAAAAGTCATTTGATTACCAAAATTACAAACAAAGGAATTGCTCAGTGGTTCTGTTTATTGTAACCGCCTAATTGTCAAGTCTTCTCTAAAATCCTTTGTGAACCGATTGTACATAAGCACCAGGTACTGAAATCGACGCCGTGACCCTGAAATCCCTCAAATGCTTCTGATTGGCTTGATATCACCATGAAATCAACGTCTATTTACCGTCTTGCTGCCTATATGCCTTAGGAATATTATTCACTCCACTTGGTATTTGCTCATTTCTCAGTGAACATTCTGTTATCGTGGAGAAAAAATAACGACATGATCATTATTAGTAAAATATCAGTTTTAATGTTATCAAGTCTGTGTTAAGTATCGTTTGTTTTGTTCAAAATTCAGTATGTACATAATAACTACGTTATGTGTACTTCTTTGTAGATAACCAGTGCTAAACAGGGTTTGAGTTTATCTTGAGTTAATCAGCATAAACAGAATGAATTTCAAATGGCACAGTATTAGAAGATTGCCTAATATGTTAAATGGCCGATTAATTACTCTACCTAAATATAAAATAAAAATGCGTTCTGGATATTCATTTTTTTCGACCCAATCATCGTTTGGTCAGAATAATGTTATAGATGACATACAACTACGATCTACAAACCGAGCATCTACCACAGAAACAGATGATGTTCGCAGAGCTCGTTTATTATATCAAAGTAGAAAGCGTGGGAATTTGGAAAATGGAATTCTGTTAAGGTATTCTGATCATATTCATATATATTTCTATAAGTTTTCAGTTTACTCATAGTCTTGTGTTGTTATTTTATAAGGAATTCAGTTATTGAAAGTTAGATGCCAAAATATTAGTCCACCAATGTTTTTTTATCTTTCCAGAGCTAATGTTTTTAATATGTTCATAGTTGACCATTCTCTTTGTTAAACACAGACATTCGTTGTTCGTCAGCAATTATTGGGCAACAAAATATCTTTCGGGCGATAAAACCGCTCACTTAACTCAGTTGGCTTGTTTTACCTACGGAATCATACAAAACGTCGATTGAAAAATGATATTCAGTCAATCCGCAAACAATTATGGTTACTGATCATCGCTCTGAGCTTTAAAAACATTTACTTGTAGTATATCTGTTGAAAGCATAACTTAGATAATCAAATATTGCATTGTAAATCAGTTGTTGCTGTCAAATAGTACCTGAAGGTCAGCAAATAGTTGAATCAAAGTATTCGACCGTCTCATCAGATCTATGCCCACTCTGTCATGCTGAATCTACTGAGCCGGAGGAAATGCATTGTTAATAAGGTAGTTTGAAAAAAATCCTGGTTGCAATAATGGTGTTTGTGGGGGGATTAACGTTGGTCTCGTTTCTATGTGATAGATCTTTAAGTTGAGGGAACATATAAATGAAGGGTGTTTATTATTAGTTCAGTGCTTGCATTATATTTCTGTCAAGTGGAAAACATTTAACATTATTAAGATTACCCCTTCTCCTACCGTGAACCTGTTAAACACCGTTTTGACTCAATTTTTAACGACTGACTCACTAATTTTGGATTCAAGTCAGTTATCGTGGTTCAGGTAAACAGTACTTTATTTTGTTTGCATACTATACTTCCCTATAGCGTCTCAACCAGACCAGTAAATTTATGTTGAGCTGCATGCATATACAATTTATTACAATCATGTAGTATCAAATGTGTTTTAAGTAAAAGAGTTAATTGCATCATGGTTTTTTGGTGTGTAGTTTGACTATACAATGAAGGCAAATAAATGGACATAAACAATCAGCCAAGATCATTGTATTTTTTGTTAGCAGACTGGTCAATCGGATTAGTGAATGGAGTAATAGTGAACGAGAACTCAGGTGAGAGAAAACCGATTCATTACTTAATGCAAAATCACAGTGACTTGATAAAATCTGAAAATCATACATTAAATACATCATTTGCATATCTTCTCTGCGTTGTCGTTTACATCCTCCACTATCCCTCTAATTCTGTTATTTCGATCGCTCCCCAAATTCATTTCTGTTCTCTTCGTTTCAATCTTCTGCTGCCAGGCATTTCACTTCCGACTGTTGCTACATACTACTTATATCTGTCAGCATAGGTAGCATATATAGCAGTACGGGTAGATCACTATAATTATTAGCTGTAATTAAAACACTAGCCAGTACTTAGCTTTTACACTTTTGTCTCTGTGTTTCTAGTTTTGTTATAACTATAAAACCAACATGTTCTTGCATTGTTCTGAGACCTGTGTACTCAAGCGGTTATTATGGATGTAGTAGTATTGTTTAGTTCGACTACTAACTAGTTCTCTCAGTGTCTGTGGGGCTGATGACCTATTTTACGATTGACCACTGAACAACAACTTAGGCTTTAATACTTATTGGTTGTCGAAATATTGCCAACATAGTGTTTGATTAGAGGACTAAACTGACAAGCAGATAAAATCCCTGTTGTGTAGCCGTTCAGTTATACGACCCAACTCATACAATTATATAGAGTAATTTCCTGACCACATTAACATGAATAGGTAAGTACAATCTACCCATAGTTACTTCGTAGGCCGAAGATAAATTAAGTAACTGATCTGTAATTAGTTAACAGAAAGTTGAGATTTTTAAAAATACAACGTTAATTTATGCAAGGCTTTCTGTTTGCACACACAATCTCTTATTGTTATCATTCACACTACGTAATCTAGCATTATAATCCGCACTTAGTCGGTTGGTAATTAGTGTCCATAGGTACAGTATGTACTTTGCACCTTCGAAGTGCAAAGTACTTCTACAAGACTGGCAGGATTCTAATCCTGTACTCACCCTGGGTAGTGAGCAGATTGAAATAGTCGACAAGTTCGTGTATCTAGGTAGCTGCATAAGTGCTGGTGGTGACGTGAGTGATGAGATCGATTCATGTATAGTGAAAGCCAAAGCGGCTTATGCCAATCTGGGCCATCTTTGACGCCTTTGCGATGTTAACCTGACGGTACAAGGTCGGATGTACAACGAGTCGGTGAGAGCGGTTTTGCTCTATGCTTGTGAAACCTGACCTCCGAGTTGAGGATTTTAGACGACTCTCTGTTTTTGAACATCGCTGTCTCCGAAGGATTTCTGACATCCGGTGGTATTATCATGTTAGTAATGCAGAGGTTCGGCTTCATGTGTTCGGGCACAGAGACAATAATCCAATTGGCGTCACTGTCTTGAAATATCGACTTTGGTGACTTGGACATGCTATGCGAGTGTCGTCCCAGAGAATTCCACGTCGCGCATTATTTACCGGCGCTGGGACTGGTTGAAAAAAGCGGAGAGGTGGTCAGTGTATGATATGGTGTCGTGATATGAAAGAAAGCTGCAAAGGTCTGGCTTCTGTTGGTTCTTCATTACTTCCTGGCTGGGGTCCGAAAAATGGTGTGACACAGTGGGTAGAGACGTTATCAGATATGGCTCAGCATAGAAGCCAGTTACAATCCTGCTGTAACCTTTTTACTTTCTTCATAAAAAGTGGTTGTAACTTCCTTAACTGAAAGGATTCTTTCGGTTGTACCTTTCTGTTCCCCCCATTATTATTATTACTATTACACTTCAATACACTAGTCTGTGGTCGTTATTGTTCTTTTTTATCTCTCTCTTATACGGATGTTACACACTTTCTCTCTTCCCATTCTCATTGTTATTGTGTGGCGCATATATATCTTGTGTCCCCTTGTACCAATATTTATGTGTTCAAGTAAATCAATAAAATCTTTCATGTTTATTCCTTGATCATATGTCCCAATGGAACTGATACTTTAACAAAATTCATATATATATATATATATATATATATATATATATATATATATGATTGTACAACTTGATTATAAAGTTATTGGAAAGAGATCGTTTCTCTGAACTTCGTGTTTTTAATGTTCTGATCGGAATTATATGTCAATAATTTAAGCACCAAACAAAAGGTTATAATTAAGAAAATATTGAGATACAATAATCCAAATATCTAATAATTTTACAATAAAAATATAGACAATAATTCTTTATAAGATAGTTCCACAAGGACAATTTTATTAATATTCACCATGTTAGAAGAACCCTATGCAATAAATCGTATTCAGTCAAATTTACATCGAAAAAACTGCCTATTTGAAAATGTGTTAAGGATGTGAAATTCAATCTTCATCTTGGTAAATTGGCTAAAGTTAACTTTCAATACAATTTTGCTGCATTACTTTTATTTGCGAAGTCTGTTTATTTACTTGTAGTACATTTATTCAGTTAATATGAAAGTAGTTATTTTGATGTTGCCTATAAATTCACCGTATTTTTGTGCTTAAACAACCAAAGTGAACATCAACTCTGAGATACAGGTACATCCAGCTGACGAGTCCCAAATAGGACGAAACGCGCGTCCTGGATTCCACTGCTAGCCACTATCCACCTCTGCTTAACTACTGCTTAGTTTATAAATTTTGTATTTAATAACCATTGAGTTTAATCGATATATAATGAAATTAACTTGAGTGTGAATTAATTCTTCTGTGGTCTTCTTTACAAAGCTTTTATCTGTTTGGTCGCTCAGCGTATTGTCGTTTAAGTGTTGTGCACCAGTCATCCAGTCTTTCTATTTTTCTCATTACGTATTAGAAGAGTCTCCTAACTGTTTATAACTGTTCAATTAACAACATAATCTTAGTTGTTTCAAATGTGGTAGGTGATAATTACAGTTAGAAATTTCGCTAAAACAAAACGGATTTTTTCATTGATCTTGAAAATTTTAAGTGGTGGACATAGATGATTGATGAAAATGCAGTCGAATCCTAATATTTTATTATCAAAATACATTGATTGTCTCGATCATTACTGTTCAATTTTCGTAAAATATCTAGAGAATCCTACTTTATATGCAACTAAGCATGATTCAACAGTGATCATTGTTTCACTTGATCGCATTTATTTAAGTCTTACATTTAGTAACGTAAAGCGGTGATTTACCATTCAGAACACTCGGATTTCAACAGGCGTATTGTAAATTCTACCTGTTCCATTTACCTTGGTTATTTGAAAAACCAGACAGTATCACTACCCTTTAGAAAAAATGTGACTCAACCTGACCATATAAACTTGTACATGGCAAGTGAAGTTTAATAAATATTTTATGCCATAAATATATTGAGTTTTTCTACGTTTAAATGAGCTATTCTCATAATTTAATCAATACAGTGTACAGTATGACTAGTTCACTCATACTTTTGTCGATTTTATATCATGTATAAGTGACTTACATATTTCACAAGATTCTCTAATGGTGTTGTCGTAACTTATACGTTCTGAAATCTTTAAATGGTGACAGAAAAGTATATAATGCTATTATTGTGTTCTAAATTCCTTAAAAGCTGTATGTTTCATGTGCTTACTTCACCTCGTTATTGTCTTAGTTTTTGAGCAGTGACTTGACAGTTAAGCATCTGCTTTCATCCGATAGGCTTCGAGTTTGAAGTTCACTCTGTATACTTCAGTTTAGCTAACGTTTGATCCCTTTCAGTACCACTGGTACTTATATTTCCACAGTTTGAACTTTCCTGCTTTTAAAAAATACAATAAAACGTAACTATGAATGATTAGTGTAATAACCTTTTTTACAACAATTAGTCTCTTTAGAAGGGGATTTGTGGAGATTTCAGTATTTTTCAAAGTTGAAATCATGAGTCAATTGAAGATAGACCACCATGGAAAACCTGGAAGCACTGGACGGCCGTTTCGTCCTATTATGGGACTCCTCAGCAGTGTGCATCCACGAACCCGCTCTCGCGAGATTCGAACCCAGGACCTACCAGTCTCGAGCTGAAGCCCTTAACCGATAGACCACTGAGCTGGCATCCAACGGTGTTAATGTCTAACTTCAACTGATCCACGAAGTTGAGCAACCATTCACCAGTTGTCTTCAGTGAGTTCCTATCTCACAACAGACGTGGTTGAACTCCACTGGTCACTGCTTCTCACTAGAACTCCAGAACATGTATCTTGAAGTCAGTCACTAGTGAGCATATGATTATATTTAGAAGGGGATTTGTGGAGATTTCAGTATTTTTCGAAGTTGAAATCATGACTCAATTGAAGCTAGACCACCATGGAAAACCTGGACGGCCGTTTCGTTCAGTTCTTCCAGGCTTTCGATGGTGGTCTAGCTTCAATTGACTCATGATTTCAACTTTGAAAAATTAGTCTCTTTGATAAATTTCGATAATGCAATGAGGAGACGAAGTTTATCAGAATTATGTGATATATTAGCGCAATACATTTCGAACAATCTGATCACACATGATATACTTGTTAAGAACATTTATATATAAAAATAAAAGGTCAACTAGACTGGTAATAAGGTTAAGAAATAGACAAGGATAATAATGATAAAATAATGTGAAAACAACTTGACACCTAATCACTCTGGATAATAAGCATTTATTACCAGGGTAGGTTTAAAGAGAGAACAAACTGTTTTTGAATACACAAAGGGGGTTTGAATTTTCGTATGGCTAAGGCTTCAGTAAACCTCAGTATACTCCCTTTTACACTTTTAAACAACACAACAAAAGCTGAGTTAAGATCAATCTTATGACCTGTTTCGATTATATGTTTAGCAACAGAGGATGATGGATGTTTATCCTCTACTCTTATTGGGTCATTCGACTGTATTTGTTTTTGCAACCATTTTGGTACATGTTCACCCACCCTAATTTTCAGATCACGATTGCTCCTCCCTATGTATGTGTGACCACACACACATTTAAATTGGTAAACGCAGTGGGATGTGACACAATCGTTTTCATGTCGTCTAGGCTTTGAATGAAGCATGGACCTTGTTCTTTCTTTGATCATGACCTTTGCTGCACAATATGTTTTGTTGATGACTGATTTAAGCCTTTGTTTCAGTAAAAGGCTATTTGAATCACCTCTAAATGGTAAGGTGATGTAAACAGGCTTTTTCTCTACCAAGGCTACAGCAGGTCTCGCTGTGCCCATAACTTTCCATCTATTGATAAATTTAGGTGGATAACCATTCCCGATTAATGCCATGGTTAACAACTTAACATCGTCATCAATAGCGTCGTTTATGCAAATACGACGAAGCCTGTTAAAAAGGCACTTTACCAAACCACGTTTGTATTGTACAGGGCAATAACTATAGTAACTAAGATATTGACCCGTCCACGTCGGTTTTCGAAAAATGGATCGTTTTATTGAGCCATCTTCTCGTCTGCTTAGAAGTACATCTAGGAAGGGGAGTTGGTCGTTCTTCTCCTCTTCGCATGAAAGACTGATATGGTTTTGGATAGTGTTAAATTTATTCAATAGGCAGTTTATGTCTTCCATTCTTTCGCCAATTACTAAGATATCGTCCACATATCTCTTATAAAGTGACATGTTTTCAATTAAGTCTTCAGATAAATTTTCCACATGTGCCATAAACACATCTGCTAGTAATGGCCCTAACGGACTACCCATAGCGACCCCATCAATCTGGCGAAAGTATTCGCCTTCAAAATTGAACTGAACTTTATCAGTACATAAAAGTAATAACTCTTTAAGAATTTTTAAGGGAATAGGTAAATTAAGGTTGTTTGAAAATATACAGTCACATAAAATGTCAATAGTCTTTTTCAAAGGTACATTTGTGAATAAGGAATTCACGTCAAATGAGCACATAGTTTTTCTTTTGATATTAATGTCACCTAAAAGATCGACCAGTTCAAAAGAATCCTTTAGGGAATACTTACATAAACGTCGTCGAATAGGATCCAATAATTTTGTTAGCCATTTGGCTAGGTTATGTGTGGGTGATCGGCACATTGATAAAATTGGACGTAAAGGAATATTTAATTTATGAATTTTGGGTAGTCCATATAAATGAGGATACTCAGAGCCCATAGGTTTTAAGAAATTAAATTCCTCTTTATCAATAACATTCATGTGTAACAATTTTTCCAGGTATGAATTTACTCTTCCCTCTAGTTTGTTAATACCTCCGAATTCAACATCAGGGATGAATTTACTTTCATCACTGAGGATGGATAACATCTTATCCTTATATTCACATTTGTTCATGATAACCACGCCTGATCCTTTATCAGGCTTCAACAAGACAATATCAGTGTTTGTTCGTAGTTCTTTTAGTGATTTAAAATGTTGAGAAGTTAATATGCTTCTCTGCTTAGGTCCAGCATTATGAAATTGGTGTGCTATATCCACCAGTTTAGCTTTACACCAGCTTTGATTACTTAAAGACGTAGGGGTTAGAGTACTCAGTTGGTCATATAGATTTTCAAATTGGGCATTTATTTCCAATTCAGACATTTGTGTTATAGGTACGGAGAAATTAAAACCAAGAGAAAATTGAACTGAACTTTATCAGTACATAAAAGTAATAACTCTTTAAGAATTTTTAAGGGAATAGGTAAATTAAGGTTGTTTGAAAATATACAGTCACATAAAATGTCAATAGTCTTTTTCAAAGGTACATTTGTGAATAAGGAATTCACGTCAAATGAGCACATAGTTTTTCTTTTGATATTAATGTCACCTAAAAGATCGACCATTTCAAAAGAATCCTTTAGGGAATACTTACATAAACGTCGTCGAATAGGATCCAATAATTTTGTTAGCCATTTGGCTAGGTTATGTGTGGGTGATCGGCACATTGATAAAATTGGACGTAAAGGAATATTTAATTTATGAATTTTGGGTAGTCCATATAAATGAGGATACTCAGAGCCCATAGGTTTTAAGAAATTAAATTCCTCTTTATCAATAACATTCATGTGTAACAATTTTTCCAGGTATGAATTTACTCTTCCCTCTAGTTTGTTAATACCTCCGAATTCAACATCAGGGATGAATTTACTTTCATCACTGAGGATGGATAACATCTTATCCTTATATTCACATTTGTTCATGATAACCACGCCTGATCCTTTATCAGGCTTCAACAAGACAATATCAGTGTTTGTTCGTAGTTCTTTTAGTGATTTAAAATGTTGAGAAGTTAATATGCTTCTCTGCTTAGGTCCAGCATTATGAAATTGGTGTGCTATATCCACCAGTTTAGCTTTACACCAGCTTTGATTACTTAAAGACGTAGGGGTTAGAGTACTCAGTTGGTCATATAGATTTTCAAATTGGGCATTTATTTCCAATTCAGACATTTGTGTTATAGGTACGGAGAAATTAAAACCAAGAGAAAATTGAACTGAACTTTATCAGTACATAAAAGTAATAACTCTTTAAGAATTTTTAAGGGAATAGGTAAATTAAGGTTGTTTGAAAATATACAGTCACATAAAATGTCAATAGTCTTTTTCAAAGGTACATTTGTGAATAAGGAATTCACGTCAAATGAGCACATAGTTTTTCTTTTGATATTAATGTCACCTAAAAGATCGACCAGTTCAAAAGAATCCTTTAGGGAATACTTACATAAACGTCGTCGAATAGGATCCAATAATTTTGTTAGCCATTTGGCTAGGTTATGTGTGGGTGATCGGCACATTGATAAAATTGGACGTAAAGGAATATTTAATTTATGAATTTTGGGTAGTCCATATAAATGAGGATACTCAGAGCCCATAGGTTTTAAGAAATTAAATTCCTCTTTATCAATAACATTCATGTGTAACAATTTTTCCAGGTATGAATTTACTCTTCCCTCTAGTTTGTTAATACCTCCGAATTCAACATCAGGGATGAATTTACTTTCATCACTGAGGATGGATAACATCTTATCCTTATATTCACATTTGTTCATGATAACCACGCCTGATCCTTTATCAGGCTTCAACAAGACAATATCAGTGTTTGTTCGTAGTTCTTTTAGTGATTTAAAATGTTGAGAAGTTAATATGCTTCTCTGCTTAGGTCCAGCATTATGAAATTGGTGTGCTATATCCACCAGTTTAGCTTTACACCAGCTTTGATTACTTAAAGACGTAGGGGTTAGAGTACTCAGTTGGTCATATAGATTTTCAAATTGGGCATTTATTTCCAATTCAGACATTTGTGTTATAGGTACGGAGAAATTAAAACCAAGAGAAAGTGCTTCCTTTTCATTAGCAGATAACAGAAGCACTTTCTCTTGGTTTTAATTTCTCCGTACCTATAACACAAATGTCTGAATTGGAAATAAATGCCCAATTTGAAAATCTATATGACCAACTGAGTACTCTAACCCCTACGTCTTTAAGTAATCAAAGCTGGTGTAAAGCTAAACTGGTGGATATAGCACACCAATTTCATAATGCTGGACCTAAGCAGAGAAGCATATTAACTTCTCAACATTTTAAATCACTAAAAGAACTACGAACAAACACTGATATTGTCTTGTTGAAGCCTGATAAAGGATCAGGCGTGGTTATCATGAACAAATGTGAATATAAGGATAAGATGTTATCCATCCTCAGTGATGAAAGTAAATTCATCCCTGATGTTGAATTCGGAGGTATTAACAAACTAGAGGGAAGAGTAAATTCATACCTGGAAAAATTGTTACACATGAATGTTATTGATAAAGAGGAATTTAATTTCTTAAAACCTATGGGCTCTGAGTATCCTCATTTATATGGACTACCCAAAATTCATAAATTAAATATTCCTTTACGTTCAATTTTATCAATGTGCCGATCACCCACACATAACCTAGCCAAATGGCTAACAAAATTATTGGATCCTATTCGACGACGTTTATGTAAGTATTCCCTAAAGGATTCTTTTGAAATGGTCGATCTTTTAGGTGACATTAATATCAAAAGAAAAACTATGTGCTCATTTGACGTGAATTCCTTATTCACAAATGTACCTTTGAAAAAGACTATTGACATTTTATGTGACTGTATATTTTCAAACAACCTTAATTTACCTATTCCCTTAAAAATTCTTAAAGAGTTATTACTTTTATGTACTGATAAAGTTCAGTTCAATTTTCTCTTGGTTTTAATTTCTCCGTACCTATAACACAAATGTCTGAATTGGAAATAAATGCCCAATTTGAAAATCTATATGACCAACTGAGTACTCTAACCCCTACGTCTTTAAGTAATCAAAGCTGGTGTAAAGCTAAACTGGTGGATATAGCACACCAATTTCATAATGCTGGACCTAAGCAGAGAAGCATATTAACTTCTCAACATTTTAAATCACTAAAAGAACTACGAACAAACACTGATATTGTCTTGTTGAAGCCTGATAAAGGATCAGGCGTGGTTATCATGAACAAATGTGAATATAAGGATAAGATGTTATCCATCCTCAGTGATGAAAGTAAATTCATCCCTGATGTTGAATTCGGAGGTATTAACAAACTAGAGGGAAGAGTAAATTCATACCTGGAAAAATTGTTACACATGAATGTTATTGATAAAGAGGAATTTAATTTCTTAAAACCTATGGGCTCTGAGTATCCTCATTTATATGGACTACCCAAAATTCATAAATTAAATATTCCTTTACGTCCAATTTTATCAATGTGCCGATCACCCACACATAACCTAGCCAAATGGCTAACAAAATTATTGGATCCTATTCGACGACGTTTATGTAAGTATTCCCTAAAGGATTCTTTTGAACTGGTCGATCTTTTAGGTGACATTAATATCAAAAGAAAAACTATGTGCTCATTTGACGTGAATTCCTTATTCACAAATGTACCTTTGAAAAAGACTATTGACATTTTATGTGACTGTATATTTTCAAACAACCTTAATTTACCTATTCCCTTAAAAATTCTTAAAGAGTTATTACTTTTATGTACTGATAAAGTTCAGTTCAATTTTGAAGGCGAATACTTTCGCCAGATTGATGGGGTCGCTATGGGTAGTCCGTTAGGGCCATTACTAGCAGATGTGTTTATGGCACATGTGGAAAATTTATCTGAAGACTTAATTGAAAACATGTCACTTTATAAGAGATATGTGGACGATATCTTAGTAATTGGCGAAAGAATGGAAGACATAAACTGCCTATTGAATAAATTTAACACTATCCAAAACCATATCAGTCTTTCATGCGAAGAGGAGAAGAACGACCAACTCCCCTTCCTAGATGTACTTCTAAGCAGACGAGAAGATGGCTCAATAAAACGATCCATTTTTCGAAAACCGACGTGGACGGGTCAATATCTTAGTTACTATAGTTATTGCCCTGTACAATACAAACGTGGTTTGGTAAAGTGCCTTTTTAACAGGCTTCGTCGTATTTGCATAAACGACGCTATTGATGACGATGTTAAGTTGTTAACCATGGCATTAATCGGGAATGGTTATCCACCTAAATTTATCAATAGATGGAAAGTTATGGGCACAGCGAGACCTGCTGTAGCCTTGGTAGAGAAAAAGCCTGTTTACATCACCTTACCATTTAGAGGTGATTCAAATAGCCTTTTACTGAAACAAAGGCTTAAATCAGTCATCAACAAAACATATTGTGCAGCAAAGGTCATGATCAAAGAAAGAACAAGGTCCATGCTTCATTCAAAGCCTAGACGACATGAAAACGATTGTGTCACATCCCACTGCGTTTACCAATTTAAATGTGTGTGTGGTCACACATACATAGGGAGGAGCAATCGTGATCTGAAAATTAGGGTGGGTGAACATGTACCAAAATGGTTGCAAAAACAAATACAGTCGAATGACCCAATAAGAGTAGAGGATAAACATCCATCATCCTCTGTTGCTAAACATATAATCGAAACAGGTCATAAGATTGATCTTAACTCAGCTTTTGTTGTGTTGTTTAAAAGTGTAAAAGGGAGTATACTGAGGTTTACTGAAGCCTTAGCCATACGAAAATTCAAACCCCCTTTGTGTATTCAAAAACAGTTTGTTCTCTCTTTAAACCTACCCTGGTAATAAATGCTTATTATCCAGAGTGATTAGGTGTCAAGTTGTTTTCACATTATTTTATCATTATTATCCTTGTCTATTTCTTAACCTTATTACCAGTCAGTTGACCTTTTATTTTTATATATAAATGTTCTTAACAAGTATATCATGTGTGATCAGATTGTTCGAAATGTATTGCGCTAATATATCACATAATTCTGATAAACTTCGTCTCCTCATTACATTATCGAAATTGTTTTTTAACACATAAAGGGGGTTTCAATTTCTGAATAGCGAATGCTTCAATAAACCTTAGTATACGTCCTTGAAGGCTTTAGTACAACACTACAAACGCTGATTTGATGTCAACCTTTATGACCAGTTTCAACTAAATGTTTCACAATGGAGGAAGATGTTTGTCTATTTTGTGATCTTATTTGACCATTGGGATTCATTTGGTTCTGCAACCATTTAGGTATGTGTTCCGCCACCCTTATTTGCAGATCACGATTGCTCCTCACTATGTACGTGTACCGCACATACATGTAAATTGGTATACACAATGGGATGTGACACAATCGCTTATGTGCTTTTTAGGTTTTTGGTGAAACATCGGCAATATCTTAATTACCATAGCCACTGCTCAATCCATTACAAACGTGGTTTAATAAAGGGCTTATTCAATAGAATCAATCGTATTTGTACTAGTGATACTAGATTATCATAGACTAAAATAAATCGCAAATATTATATAGAGAGATTAGGAATGTTATCATCATATATATCTACTAATTATTAGTTTTTAATCTGGCTTGACTTTTTCATGATTTGTGATCTAATCTTTTTTTTTCGGCAATTTCTATATAGTACATTTGCTGCTAAATACCTGAATTCAATGACACATGAACAGCTTATTGCGTATGATAGTTTAATCAACTTACCAGACAATGAATGGGACATTTACTATTGGATTACAAGTAAATTTGTTTTTTTGAAATTCTTTTTGTCATAGATTTAATTTCTTATGTAAGAAAATTTTTCTGGTTGACATTTTTCTACTAGTCAAGGTTCTTTTTGTACATGCTGGTATTCCTAACCTCATGCCCAACCTACCTCTTTTACTCGGACTTGAGATCGACAGTAACCCTAGAAGGGCTCCAAGCAGAATTTTATGCAAAACGAGACGAAAAATAGTCTTAGTTTTACTTGATCTAGTCACTGGCATTTTTCATAGCATTTAAGCAACAAAATACGTTCAAAGCGTCAATGGGACTTATTATTCCTCTTCTTAAACCTGAATCTACTCCTTTAGAAGGTAAGCCAGGAATGTGACTGATAGGGTAAGATTTAGCGTTTATTACCTGATTAGTAAATTCCAGCAGACACTGATAGTGTTTGTTTATTTCATTGATCATTATATTCAGTGGTCAGTTGTATTGGAAATAATCTGTTAGGCATCAACCATAACTTCTGTCGTGCTTGGAATCATTCCAAAAGCTGTTGGTTGAGAATAATTGAACTTTAAAAGTTACAATTAGTGTGCTATTAGATTTTCGTTGAAAAAGACTATCAGTATATTTTCTATTGTCTCCAAGTAAGGATTTTTAAGTAATATCCATTGTCTGTTGTCATATACCTCTGTCTCAGAATGATGATCAAATATTTCCATCTCTAATGAATGGTTTCAGGACATACATATTAAAGGTATAACGTTAGTCAATAAACACAGATGGGGCTTCTTGTCCATTAGGCTATCATTTTTACAAAGAACATACATACGTTCTGTGTGCACATTGTTTATAAGTTTTATGAGGCACTCATATCCCAATAGACTATCTGATACGTCTCGTCGATTGAACGCTATATTCGTTTCCTAAGCTATTCTGGTAACCCACAGGCTAGAACTACTCAGCGACTTGAACACCAGAGAGAAGACACGAGTATGAGAGAAAAACTTTACTCCATGGTTCAATCCTGTGCAGAAAATCATGGGTATTTATAGATGTTAGCGTATATTAAATCAACATCATGTTTCAGCCAATCCATTAACGACATATTATGCTACCGACCAATAGTAGCACGCCACGTTGGAACTCCAGAATGTTCCATCGTGCTCTGATTGGCTGGGGCTCTTCGGCTCCTTTTTGGACCTCTGGAAGCTCCGTCGAAGTAGTCCGGAAGCCGACTCAACACTATCATCCTTAATTCTTACTCACCATATCAGTGATATTGACTTAAGTTGACTAACACTTCTTGTCAGAAATAATTCTCATAAATATTTTCTGCTGGGAAATATTTAGAATCACATGCACTTATTCATTCTTTGTTAGACTCAGGCGTTATTGTTAAATACCTCCAACTATATTTCCAAACATTGGTTATATAGTCAGTGAAAATCGTACTTCATTTATTTAAAATGGATGGATCGTAGCCAGAAGTAGAATCCAAGATGCGCGATTCATTCCATTTAGTTATCGTACCTGCATCCGAATATTTATGTTCACATTGGGACTCGAACCCGGCACTTTTCGCTTTAAACAGCAACGTGTTATCCACTGGGCTACTCATTCCAGAGACCGACTAACTTGTTCAAGACGTATGATGTTTATATCACTATTAGCAATGGTTTATAATTACAGCGTTGTTGGTATTCAAGACTGCATATAATAATAATGTGCATCTTATTTAGTTAAAATCCTCCTTTCTACAGTTGATTTTGATATTTACGAGATATCATTAACTTTCTCTTTTTTTCATCCATACATTAAATGTAAACATTATTTATTTATTTGAACACATGAATATTGGTACAAGGAGGCACCAGATATATATGCGCCACACAAAAAATTGTCATTTCATTTAATTGTGTGAGAGCTATGATACTGCCCACGTGCCCAATCAGAAGCAGGTGGTTTTCTTAGGGGGCCACACCCCGAGCCTTTGACCTAAAGATCTGATCCACAAGGCAGTGGGGCATCGTGAGGAAATGAAGTTCCATGGTATCCGGTGACCAATGATTGGTTCATACGCCATTTGTTCCCTTAGGATACTGGAGCCCATGTGCCCCATTGGTTTGGAATCAGGGTTTTCCAACTCCCCTAAGTGAACTCGCCGTGTCCACCAACCGGGTTAAAGCTTCGGACATTGGTTTTTCGTCCTCTCAATTTTGTAAACAACAGTAATGCCACTAGAAGGCAGTGAGTAGGATTTCTGTATCAGTGGTAAAAGCTATATACGCATGGCCATGTGAGAGCATTTCGAGAGGTAGAGCGGACTCTCCCCACTATCGGCCGTACCAGGACATTTGGAGGCCAAATGTAAACAACCGTTTTTAATTTATCTGTAATATATATTAGTAATTGAATTAAATTTATATAATATTTCAGAACTGTTATATTTCTTTTCTAAGTTTTCACTTACCCTGTTTTCTTTACATTTGTTATTTAAAAGAGGCAAAAGAAGCCCCGGAATATTTTCAAACAGATATATTACAACTTCTTCAAGAATATTGTCAAAACAATAAAAATGAACTACGAAATGAACAGCCTAGTTTGTATTAATTATGCTTTTTTTTCAAAAAAAGAAACAGTTGAATAGTTCTATTTTGTTTTTTGTTTGTTTTTTTCCACTAGAAAATTTCATCTCTTTTTTTTTTCGTCTTACACTCTCTTAGTTTAGTAATAATGTTTTAATAATCTATAATTATTACCTAGTTCAAATTGGGCCTAGTTCTTTTTATTTTAACAGATGTTTGTATGAAATGAATGCACTTCTAACTTCGTTTTCTTTTCTTATGTATATAAGTTGCGTTGAATTGTTTCTACATTGCAAAATCAATTTATAATATTTCTTATAGATTAATAATTAATAATAAACCTTTTTTAAACATCGAAAAAGTTTTACAGTATATTTTCTTGAAATATATCCATTAAGGTGAAAGGTGATTAAAGAAATGTTGTGTAGCCGTTACAAACCAGTAATTCTAACCATTTGAAAATATTCAATATAGCTTAAAGTATACATCAAGTATCCGTGCTGTTTTTAACGGGGTAATAAAATCATTGGTTACCATTACCTATATATTCTATTTGTTGGCTAGTCAAGATAATGCACGTAACTCCCAGTAACATTTATGAATGTTCATATTTATATCGTTTTCCTTGCTTCTTACTGTGACCTATTTGATTCCTTTGTATTACTTTACGTGAAGTAATTAGTTTGAGAATGTTACATACTCTGAGGTTGATGAAGATGGAGTACAGCAATAACTTGACTATACCACGTTACCAAGTCTCCCTTTTTCCTTCTCAACTGATCCAAAACAAACGTTAGTTTATTCGTAAAGCCTTGGTTGTCTTTCTAAATAACATCAGCGTTTACATAGGATCTCCGAAAGTTATTCTCTTAAATTACAAATATCCATGGAGGCGATCAATTAATTCTACCCATCACTTTATATACGAAAACAACTTCGAAAATTATTCGTTTAACAATCTCTTGATTCTATCCAATTGAAATATTGATTTTAATCATATCGCTACTTTTCTACATAAATGCATAGGTATCTCGTTGTAACATTTTGGTGATATCCTTTAGTTACATTTATTTCACGATAATAATGATTATATCCTCATGCCTTAACTGTTAAAGTTGCATCTACTAGAATACTTGTGAATTAGCCGACCTAGTTTTATTGGGACAGTAATAATCATACTAGTATAATGTCTGATGACAAAATGTTTATTTGATAATAATTTCTTTCTTCACACTAAAGTACTCCACAGAAAGTCCACAAATAATTTGACTGATGCTAGTGAATGCTGTCAACAATTGAAGTAAAGTCTGTTCGTCATAGAGTTATAAGTTCTTTGGTTCGACTCTAACCTGCAAACTCTTCAAGAGTCGTGAAAGTGATGACTATCCGTTTTTCTCTCAATCTTCAGTTTTAAAACATTCTTTTCATAATGACGATCAGCTTTCTAAGTTGTGAAACTTAAATCATATTTCATGATAAAAATTCTGTATTTTTCGTAATTATTAATTTGAGAAATAACTGATGTTTTCGTGATCAATTTTACCACACTTTAGTATCTAAAACAATTACTTCCACTCATCCTTGTTTTACTTTGTTCATTTCCTCATACTTGTGATTTGAAAAGATACATATTTTCATAAGCTCCCACGATGTTGATGATTGATTGAATAATTAGACTAATCTGTGTACAAAACTCAAGAGTTAATTTAAATGATTGTAAACTAGAATAACTATTACGAACTGCATATCATTATGGTTTTCGCTAATTATTCGAATGCCTACAAAACGTATTGGTGGCTCTCGTTATCCCATATAGGTGCGATTATACAGTTTTGGAGAATGAAATCATCGGGAAAAGAATTTTTATTAGAGGCTACAAATTAATTTCAAAACCAATATTTCTAGATCCGTAAATACAACAGGGCATTTTTAAATCCTAATATTTTGTATCTTGGTGATTACTCAACATTTTTTGTCGATGGTCGACATAAAAACTCACATTCGATTTAATAAATGAAAATAAACTATGTTCAAGTTGACACCAACTCATACAGTTTAGTATTAAATGATGGTGAAAAGGTTTTGTCACTTCCTAGTGAAAGGTATACCCTGTCATAAGGGGGTAGATTTTAGGTAGGTTGAAACTTTTGGTGCTATTTTTTGGATTATTATTAATATGTTTATTGTGTAATTAAGAAATAACGGTATGTTTATATTTCTAAATTACCCTTAATATAAGCCTTCAGTGGACCTATTGGCTGTTATTGTACGTCTTACTATCCTCTAACTATGTACGGTTCGCTCCGCATTTATGGTTAACTGTCCTTAAAGTCTGATTCCTTATTTGGTGTGCTATATGGTCAGGAAATTCCGGTAAATAATTATGTGAGTTTTGATTCATAATTGAACTGAGTAAAACACAAGACTAATCTGCCATCTATCTTCGTCCTATTGGCAACTGGATTAGCAAGGGTTTGGGGACAAATAAGTGTTAAGGTCTTGATTGAGGTTCACTGTGTAACTTCCACAAATAGGTCACCGGTCTAACTGGTAATGTAGTACATGATGTCGATTAGAATCTCTAGCCATGGCAAGTTAGCGTTCTGAAGATATAACAATTTCTGGATTACTGGAAGTAGAAGAAGAGTGTAGAAATCAAAGGTATCAGACTGTGACATCATCACACGCAAAACAACAGTGTAGCATAATTACATACACATACGATGAGCTATATGAGAACTAAATTGGGTGGATAGAATATCTTTTTCCTCACCGCTCTGCGTTTATTACTTACAAATCGTCATGTTATTTGGTTCCAGTCGATTTTGAATAAGATTTATCTTAGATATTCAGTCAATTCATCATAATAATACTTTTGTTGAACACATATCATCATTTGTCTTAGTATTTGACATTGTAGACTTTCTTCTAACCACTATCAAATGATAATCCCTCTAATCGCATAATGTAGAATTTTATGTATGTCTTAAAATGTCAATGTCCAAATTATTATGAATCAACTGTAGTGTCGATTGTTTTGTTAAGCCCATATACCGTATTATAACTTCAGGACAAGCCAATTTACCTATCCATGTTGAGTCATGTTTTCACCTTATTAATTATTCACTTATTAACCCTGACTATGACCGTATGTTTGTGTACACTTCTTATCCTATTCATCACATGTCTGTAACTTATTCTTGTCTGATTATAAGTACTGATTAAAGTGAGTTGGCTTACTCGCCATCTCCGATGTGCGTCATTTATTAGTAAAACTGTAGTAATAGCTTCTCTTTGCCTTCTGATTTTACGAAACTTTAGGATCGGTAATATAACGGTTATCAAGGTGAACGATTAACAAAGCATAGCACTACAAAACGTATTCAATTCATTATATTTTCACAATTGAAATCATGAGTCAATTGAAGCTAGACCACCATCGAAAACCTGGAAGCACTGGACGACCGTTTCGTCCTATTGTGGGACTCCTCAGTAGTGTCCATCCATGATCCCGCCTCACCAGATTCGAACCCAGGACCTACCAGTCTCGAGCCGAAGCCCTTAACCTATAGACCACTGAGCCGACCGGCATCCAACGGTGTTAATGTCTAACTTCAACCAATCCACGATTTTTGAGCGACCGTTCACCAATTTTCGATGGTGTTCTAGCTTCAATTGACTCATGATTTCAACTGTGAAAATACTAAATTCTCCCCTCTGATATAACAAAAATTAGGAGTTATTGTTTATTCAAAACAGAAAAAATAAATAATTGAAATGAATGATTTTGAAAATATTTAAAAACAAAGTAGACATTTCAAAATCATGTCAATATAATATTAAAAATGGATAGGTAGTCAATCAGTCATGATTCAATTTATATCTGATTAAAGTAGTATATATTATTAAGTAACAAATAACCCCATTTTTCTGAATACATTCCATTAAAATAATTATTATTGATGTTATTCTATTCAGTGAAATAATACATGGTTGTCTATTTAGAATAATGGACAATTATTTGATATTCAAAATAGATGAATATGTTAATTTTTGTTTTCTGATTCATTCATCCTCTTCCTTTGTTTATTTGTAAGTCAATATAATCCAACATGTGAACAAAATGTAAACAAAGTTTTTCTAAACAATTAATAATAATAATATAATATAATAGAGTTGAGATCATGAGTCAATTGAAGCTAGACCATCATCGAAAACCTGGAAGCACTGCACGGCCGTTTTGTCCTATTGTGGGACTCCCCGTCAGTGCGCATCCACGATCCCGCCTCGCGAGATTCGAACCCAGGACCTACTAGTCTCGCGCCAGAGCACTTAACCGATAAACCACTGAGCCGGCCGGCATCCAACGGTGTTAATGTCTAACTTCACTGTTGAGGGGCCCCACAATAGGACGAAACGGACGTCCAGTTCTTCCAGGTTTTCGATGGTGGTCTATCTTCAATTGCCTCATGATCTCAACTCTATAAAATTACTAAAGTCTCCACCAAACCCTTTCTAATAATATAATACTTTTATACGTTATGATCTGCGTGCATACATACGTAAGTATTAGTCAAATATTGTTACGTAATCAATAAGCATGCATTCTGTAGTTAGTAAAGTAACCACGCAAATTCAGTTAAATTTTAAAAAATAAAAAACAGCAATAACTTAGAATGTTAATAACTTTCCGGATTAGTTATCAGAGTATAAATTTTGTAATGAATATCTATCAAGTTTCAATAAGTCAAACTCTATTGACCATGAAGTTGTTTAGCAATTTATTCTATAACATAACTAACTCGGCTATTGTTATACTTGTTCACGTCATGTAGATCAATGAAAAAAAATGATGAGAAAAGTCTTTTTTTTATCGATAAGCGTAGCTAATAGATTTGTTTATTTAGAAGAACACAGTAGTGTGATCACTTTATCGGTTACTTCATAGATATCTCTGGATGTTGTATTATGGAATTATTATGGTCTACGGCAATTGAATAGTTGTCTTGATGCAACCGAAATCCGGTCAGTTTCCATGTATTATTCACAAAGGGAAATTAATTAGTCTTACTACTCACTTGTGCATATACCCTAAAAATGTAACATATTGTTTTCGTATTGTGGACACCTACTGGCTAATATTTTCACATTCAAATTTTCATTCCTTGTTGAAATGTATCACACAAATTTTAGCCAAACTAAAGTATAAAAATGATAACTCTTCTAATCATCTGAGTGTAATTAATTGGTTTAAAACAGAAAAGAACAACATTGTACCAGGTAGACAGATCAAATCATTTCTGTTTGGGATAATCACATAGGGAGGAAATGAAAAATTATTAAATAACCAGATTTATTGATATGTCAGTTAGAATGTCATTCTAATCTTCAAAATATTTTAGGCTCAATATTGATACCATACAAAACAGTAATGATGTCTATTTGATGCTGGATACTTTTTTTTAAAAAAAGGTAGGTGTTTTATTTTTCTCTCATAATAAAGCATTAACAATCACCTGCTTAGTTATTTTCTAATATCCAAGTTTGTTAATTAGTAGTTGTGAACAATCCTTATTCAATCATCTCTTAACAGTGTTTCCAACTAATAAAATGTTTTCACATAATAAATTCATTCTAGCAATCTATGTTTAGCCTGTCTTTGTGTTGAATAAGCACGGACCATTCAACAGAAGTGGATTTTTGGCTATTTATTTACTCAAGCTACTGATAAAATATCACATCACTAAATAATCTGGAATATTTTCCGATTTAAATAAAAACAGTCTCCGGAGATATGGCGCTGAGTTTCAAAGACAAAAGTTATAAATTAATCTGACAATGAATAAAAATCGATTCGTTCTTCATTGATCTAGAATGAGCGAGTACTTGAGTTCATCTAAAGTGTTGAGCAATTAGTGATACTGAAGTGATGGAATTTTTTTGCTAAATAATTCTGATCATTTTGGTTTTTAGATCACATTAACCTTCTCTATACAAGAAAAATAAACCTATTCAGTGTATTTATTTTATACTATCAATGTATTGGAACATAGAGCAAACCTTTAAAGGAAAACTTACTCTTCTATTAAACTGATTAATTTGATTAATAACTCATTGTTTAATTCAAATGAAACTTACCTCAGTTATTGGTGATGGTAAACAACCCCATGATATAATATTTTGTTTTGACGATCTAACTTCATTACCATTTAACAATGATTCTCGATGTAGAGTTCTGTAATTATTATTGCTATTCATAACATCAGAATCAACTTCATGAATACTATAATTACTATTGTTATTGTTGTTTTTATCATTATTATTAATGGGAGAGGTGTTTGACCATGAATTTTTTTGAACAATTATTGGTATACAACTAATTTCACTATTATTGTCATAGGAACAACGATTATCACTTAATGGGTTCACGTTATTTTTAATTAAGCAAAACATGCTACTTGGCGACTTTTCAGTAGCATAATCCACATTACGTAAATATGATGATTTCATAATGGGTAGTAACGTTTCGTTTCTATCAATAAGTATGCTACTACTGGGATTATTATTTTTTATTGAATAAACTGTCGAAAAAGTTGGTGCTTTAAGATCATAGGAATAGTTTTCATTATGCTGATGTGAGTGTTGATTTAAATAATAAGGAAACTGACAAATGGAATAGGTTGATGCTGATGAAGTTGAATTGAATAACAGGTTGTTTGTCAATGTAGACTTTTCTTTATTACCATTATTATTGTTATTCGTTTTATCACTTTTATTATCATCACAATTGTTGTTTTCTATATCAGTATTGTTAGTGTCATCAACGTTTGTTATTTGATTACTTACAGGGTTTAAAGTAGTCGTATCATTAGAGTTTTCGTGATTATGTGAATCTATGAATTCATTTGAATTTGTTGTTGTTAATGAGGTTGATGATTGTGAAGACCATGATGAGGATATCTTACACAATTCTCCATTTGTATCTTTGTGTGGTAAAGATTCTTTAGCCTGTAATTCATTCGTTTTATTTGTCGCCATTGTCTTCATGTATGTTTCTGATGTTGGCGTTTGAAGGGGTGATGGTGGCGGTAGCTGTAGTGTTAGTGATGATGAGTTTGGTGATGATTTTCTGTCCAAACAATGATTAGAATGGTTTGAACCGATTGTTTTGTCAGATGATTTCTAAATTTTGTTTTATTTCCAGTTTGATGATGCAGATGAAAATGAAATTTAATTTAATAATAGAATAAACAAAGTGCAATTAAATGCTCAAACTGAGAAAAAATAATCATTCAATCCAACTAAAACTAATCAAATAACAAAAATAATCCATCATGTCATTGAAAAAGAACTGAGAAAACTCAGTGAAGAAACTTTTCTCGACAATATCATTTACTGAAGCTGTACAATTGTATTTATAGCTAGTTTACAAATAAAATAGTCCATTCAAAGATAGGACGAAGTTTACATCATATATGTCAAAACAAATTACTTAATAATCTAGAATTGAAGAGAGATAATGGGCTGAGATCAAATATGAATAGGATAATTGTCCACTTGACGAGTATGAGAAGGTTTAAGAATAAATTAAACAAGTGAATATGATACTCATGTGGAGTAGATTACATAGACCACACAAAGTGAGCGCTTTTCAAGTGCATCTTCGAAAATTATCTTGCATTACTATTGAAATATGATTAAAAATACCACTTCAGATTTCCGTGAAAAATTCAAATATCTTGTTTAACGAGCAGTGAAAATGCTTTTGTATAATGCTTAAGACTTTTAGGTTTGCGGCGAAAAACTATATTTTACCATCGAGTAAAAATAATCATCTTAGAGAGAGCAAGAACAAAGATTGGCCCAGAATAATATGAATTCATTTTATTTCGTTAGGTCCTCATCAGCTGTTTACAACCGATAATAATTTAAAATCAACGTTATTACAGATATTGACATACTTATACATATGAGGGTGATTAAAGATGAATATATGTATCATGATGTAGCGAAGATTTCAATAGAGTTAATAAGGTCATAAAAAGTTGTTTGTTTCAGACAAATAAATAAAGTTTGGGAGGGAAAGTTCCAGAACATTGAACTAGTGATTAGAACTTATAGAGTTGACAAACAATAAATGATTATGTAGTGAAGTAATTGAAAACAGATTAATGATAATAAGGAAAGCTATGAATTGAAATCGGTTTGTTATGACTTAAAGAAAAATGACAAACTTCAGAAAAAATTGAAATGATAAATGATATAATAAAGAGGATGTAATGTTACCAGGGCAAAGAGAGATTTATTACTGCTTCTTTCTGGATACATAGATCTGGTTTTCGACATTTCATCGCTTTCGCAGAGGTAAATTTCAAAAGGTTGGAGTTTGATTGTTAGCTAATCACCTGGAAAGACTTCTGGTCCTGTATCAAGGAGATGTCTTGCGATGGCACTGCTGGATGCTTTTAATCCATTTGAACCTAAACTTTTCGGAATATGTTCTTTGAATCAGACGTAGGCTCTCCTTTCTGTTCTATCAATGTAACTGTTTTGGCAGATACATGTAAATTTGTATACACAGTTGGTAGTAGCATGAAAGGGATACCTATTGACCTTTGATTGTATTAAAGAACATGTTGATTTGGACAGGATAACCAGTTTAACCAGAGGATAAGTTCTTTTCAGTGCAATTTTTGGTCTCATAATGATTGACCCTGTGACATCATCAACTTTGAATTTAAGTTGAATAAAATAGGGTTTTTATTTGCTATAGTTTCTTTGAGTTCTTTATCCTCACGTTTTCCATACTTCTCAATAAATTTCAGTGGCTATCCGTTATTCTTTACACATTTTCTAACATTCTTTACTTCCTCCTCTAGCAGCTGATGAGAACCTAATGAAATAAAATCAATTCATATTATTCGGCACCAATCTTCGTTCTTGCTCTCCTTAAGATAGTAAAAGGAACTATTTGTATGAGAGATAATAATGTTGAGCTTATCAAATGCTTAATTTTGTCTCCTTAGATTGTGTGTAACAGGCAACTTGATACTAGCTTTAAATACTAAGCTAGAGCCTTTAATCATGGAACAGACGTTAACTTGATGGAACTACATTTTATGAACAAACTAATCAGATAGCGTGTCACGTTTTTTTGAGCGAGATTCATTTATCTATATGTCTACAGAAAATTTTTGCATTATATCTGACGTCAGTTAGTGATACGAATGTTAACCCTAAAAATATAACATTTACTGAGGACAATATGGGGACTCGTAAAAATCTGTTTGAATTTTTCGCAAGTTTGGGGGTATCGAGAATTCGCATTCACAAGGACGAGCTGGTATATCATTGTTCTTTTAATTTATAATCAGAGTAGCCTGTCGAAGACACTAATTATGTAAAGTCTGTTTACACCTTGTCTTATTATTACTTTCTTCCCCATAGACTATTTATTTATAAATGCTGATTTTTATTTGCTTTAAACCATCCGGAAACTCACTAGGACTGTTTTAAGGCCGTCGCTATATAGTAATTTTAGCACTAAAACTATCCAGAATTTTTCAATGTTTGTTAATGGATTCAGTAAGTTGCTCTAACTTCATAGTATAAATTACAAAAAGATCTTAACTAGATCGCTAATGAAAGCCTAGAAGCACTGGACGGGCGTTTCATCCTAGTATAGACTCCCATGGGGTGCGTCCATGACCCCTCATGAAGAGAATTAAAGAAGGCCCTCTTAACCACTGAATAAGAATCCGGTGATATATAAGTTTAGTTTCAATCAATCCATGACATTGCACAACTATCATTGATTGTCTATGGTGGAAAACTGGCTCACACTAAACACGGATTAAATTCCACTACTAACTGCTTTTAACTAGAACTTTAGGAGGTTTGCACAATTTCGTAGATTGATTGAAATTAAACTTGTACGTTACTGGGTTCTGTTTCATTGGTTTAGAAGTTAAGGGTTTGTACGTGAAACCGATGGTTGAGGTTCAGTCTATCTCATGTAGGGTGTTGGATGAGCACTGCTGAGGAGTCCCACACTAAGATGAAACCGCCATCTAGTGCCTTCAGGCTTTTATTAGAAGTATAACTAGAATCAGTTCGTTATTTCACTTATGAAAATCCGTCAATCTCTAAAAATCCCTTCAACCAATAAATAACATTATCTCTAATAATAAATAAATTTTTGTGATCCATTCGGAACTGTTAAGTTCAACCTTGGCGTTGCATTATTTTTGTTGACTTACTGGAAATATCATATACTTGAACATAGAACATTGATAAATGTAATATGAAGACAATTCGTTCTCTTTTTCTTCTTCATTTACGTAATACGTATACATAGACCTCAGTCGTTCAGTTGCATCATTTGGTGTGATCCGAAATCTGAACAGTCTTCTCATCTGATTTTTAAGTGTTGTGACAACGCCGTGTTTCCGTTGTACTGAAACTCTTCATTCCGTCTCACAACTTCAAGGCCACATTTCGCTACATACTACTTCGACTACACTATCGATGCTATCAAAACAATTACAATCACTGATATGAATGGTGTAATTGAAAAGCTTTCATCATGTAACTTTTTAGACAATATGATTGTTAGAAGATTATTAAAGCGATAAACTGATTGAATTTCTACACATGACTAACAGCTTATTCAGTTCACAAAGAATTTAACTAATTGATTGCCAGATAATTGTTTTCCTATTATTTACACATTATTTTGATTATTTTCGCCCTTGGCTTTTTATTTTTTTTCATTGCTTCATTAATTTGTTGAAAAACTGAGTTTATTTAAATGTTTATTGAGTGATAACTATCAATCAGGTTTCTAATAGTTCTCTGTTCTTCATAGTGATGACTTTGTGCAAGATTTCAATATTTTCCCCAGAAGAGTTTATATCACAGTATATCTTTGGTCGCATCAATGTATATGGACATTTGGGAGAAATTCTTACAGCTCAATTCTTCCTGGAAGTTTGTGTTGATGATGTTATCTGGAAAATTTTTCCATCAAAGTTACATGACTAAATTATCTGATTCAAAGAAAAAAGAAATATTACAGTGATCCTTTTGAGCTAAAAAACTGATACCTATTATGCGGTTCAGCAAAGAGAATAAATTAATTTGTTCAGTCAAAACCAGTCTTTGATAAATATTCATTCTAAACAAAATAAACAATGATAAAACAAACATGTAAATCATGATGTAAACGTGGTAAGAAATGTATGACTTAATGCTTACCTGATGTTTCATTATCTTCGATAATTGACTGCTAAGTTCAGTCACTGAAAAGGGATCATGTTCAGTGTTTTCTGTGACCGGATGATCACTCGAATCTAAATCTCTAAGAATCGAAAAAACGACAGGAGTCTGATGAAAAAATAAGGACAACCAATAATACAATACATTCATCAGGTTGGGTACCAATCTGTGATAAAATAGTCTTCAAAGTAACTTTCATATCTGTAGAAATGGTTAGAAAAACTTGATTTTTGTGGATGTTGTCTATCGTACAAATCTCATCACGTCTTTTCATTACAGAATGTGAAACGTTTTGTTTAAATCGTATTTTTGGATTCTCAATGCAACAACAATCCATAAATTGATTATCATCTAAAATACACTACATTTCTTAAATAACTCTTCGTTCTCAATCATGTTTCAATTATTCTGTCAGGGTACAACCAACACTGTTTATATTACTACTGTTTGACTGCTTGATCTCAATATGGCGTATACCTCTTAAAAGTAAGCATAAAGTTATTATGATATTTTAAATTTATGCGTTCGTAACTGTAAATTTGTGAAGGTTTGAACCCTTTCGATCATGAATATTCATTATTTCGAATTTGCTACATTATCAACCTTTAGCATTGTAATATTTGCTTAATCATTTTTATCGTTTATTTTTCCTCAACCCATAACAAACCTTTTAAAAACGACTTGCAAATAACAAACCGATAAAATTATCGATGGAAAATAATTTTAAAAAATCTTAGAAACTGACGACTGCTCTTTCTTAAGAACATAAGTTCCAACTTATAGAAAATATATCTATTAATAGGTAGAAATGGATGATGACTAGTAGTGGAATTTCGGAAGTTCGTTTCGTCCTAGCTAAGACTCATCAGATGGATGTAAATGCTTTTCTTTGTAGATATTCACTTCGGTTTTAGGGCTCGCGTCATTCATTTAGATACTGAGTCCCAGACATTAATGGGGAGATCCAAACGAACAATACAAATGAATACGACGGTTAAGTTAATTATTGCAGAAAATAAAATAGATGAGTCAGTAACATATAAAAAACTTAAATACTTAGCTTCTAATCATTAGATCAACAATGTCAATTTCATTTTATTCATATTTATTTAAACCATTTTAGTTCAACCAGTATTAGTGATATAAATTTATACTCAATCACCGAGTTGTTTAAATGTTAAAGAGGAATTTCTAACTTACAGAATAGTGTAAATAATCCAATTGGATGGAATTTTAGATTTGTTTTTAAAATTTTGCACAAACTGCACCAGATTGTACATAAAAATGTAAATAAGTATATCATTTCCACTAGATGATATTTTCTAATTTAGTGAAACTTTTTAATATCGAATATCATAAAAATGACTATTATTAGAAATCTAGCTTAGAGGTATACATTTGTTTTTTTTTATGGTAACTAAAGCATTATCGATAAGTAAGACAGGTATAGATGCCATAAGATCTTTGTATAGTCTCGGTATATTTGTGTTTTCTCAATTTCAGAAAAGTTAGAATTGTTCACAGTTTCGAGAGATCTAAAATATCAGTAAAAATGGAAATTTTTACTAATTTGTAATAATATATATCTTAAGCTCAGCTACTACAAGGTTACAAAATTGGATTCACCTAGTTAAAACAGCATTTAGGGTTTCAGAAAAGTTGCATTGGACTTTTCACTGGACAATGGCTTTCTTATGAAGAGTAAGGATGTCATTCGGAATACGATGAACTCATCCATAATAATATCGTCAAGATTTGTAAATAAGAGCTTTTAGAGAAAGTTGTTCATACTTACAACTTTATAATGATATTTTTTATTAGCACATTGATATTACCCCGATGTTTAACTAGAAGTAGGTTGTTTTAAAGGGGAAACACATTTGATTGTTCTACTTAGTGGTGAAAATACTACAAGAAAGTCATTGAACACATCTTATGATAGCTAGTTCCAAAAATGGTTGATGCGTTATATTTTGCCTCACAGTCTCTGCACACCATTAGCAGTAAATCATAGATGTCCAAATCCCTCAGCTGAACCGTGCATTTGGTGATCCAGTCTAAGAATTAGATGTTGGCTTTCAATACTCTACTTGTGAGGACATACTTCAAAGTTAAAGATAGTGAAGGAGACATTTTTATCAGTGGTGACAGTTACGCTTAGACCTCAAAGTACTTTGAACTGAAAACTCAAGTCTCTCATTAACAAGATGTTAAAGAACAGAATACGAATTTGTCTTTTGTATCTTCCTAAGACATTATTGGTGTTTTGCTCAATAGTGATGTTGATGAATCAAGATGACCAGAGTGATCTACAATCTGGATAGATCCTTAGGATGAATAAATTGTGCATCTGCAGAAAAATGTTATAAAGATATAACTCCAATATGTCCTCAACTAGCCAACGTTAATCTTCCATGAAGAGACAAATCTTTGAGAAGTTGAAAGAGAAATCTGTTAACTTTACAAACTATATACTGAGATAAACGATAACTGAAAAGAGGAAACAAGGTAAAATACCATTAAATGTAAACAATTCAAATGAAAGCTTGTCTGTTATACGCCATGGTTTATACACAAGTATTGTAGTAAATAAATTCATAACAGTTTGAAGTACTTATTAGTTAAGATTTTCGCTGTCAAATACTTTCACTTGAAAGGTATCGATCAACAAAGTCCAGTGTTATCTCTCGTTCCAAGAATATGAACAGAACCACATACAATTAATCACGATGTATTGAAGAAACATTTTGCAAAAGATAATCTTGTTCATAAATATCATGATATCAAAAAATATGCTTGAATAATTCAGATACTGAAGATTGACTACTTTTTTCTAAATAAAAATCCACGCTGCCAATAGATTACGATATGAAAAAACTTGAAGTATAGGGTATTATATGATTACGTTTTTTAAACATAACGCTAAGAAATTATGATAAAACATAATTGGTTATTTACAAACACCATAGGGTAAACGAGTATCTGTTCAAGTTGCCATAATTTGTAGCGGCATAAGTGGAGAGAAGAATAACATGATGAGAGACTAAGAAAAGAAGGTAACTACTTGTCATGATTCGTGAGGTTATTTATATTATTCTGATATTGGTTTTCGGGAATGAGTTGTTGATACATGTACATTTTTGGGGATGATTCAAGATTATCTCTTTGTAACAAGTATTTTTTTATGCTTAAATTATGACTAACACTGAAATCCAGAAAAAAAGTTTCGTCCTATTACAAATTCGCCAACATGGCATAACTTTGTCTAAAAGTCAATGCTTGCACTTAGACTTAAGCTCAAGTAATTATCACTTCAAATATTATGTCATCCATCAAGTTAATAAGTTCATATATTCATTAAGTTCTTCAATGAGTACGGTGTCCATTTATCTTTAATATCAATAAATGAATATTATAAACCTTTATAATGCATAAATGCGACTATTGTATATATTTACTGATATCGACGAATAACCACTTAAAATCATGGATTATTTAACAGCTATTTTGTATTTGTTTGTAAATCCTTAGTGCAGTGACCAAAACACTACTTAGGACAATCGAATGTACTTAAACAAAAATTACAGACTATCTCACTAAATTCTGATAATCATATGGTCAACAGTTAATTTGCAAAATAACAATCAATTATCTCAATCTTGACTGTTCCTTCTACAAATATCAGTCCATCTTCTCTGATTTCATTTTTAATGCATTTCCCTACCAATTGCGCTTCATTTCAATTCTTTCCTTATCGGTCTTCTGCCAAAATATCTGGCTATCACCATATACTACTTATGTGAACATAAGTAGACCACACCACATATAGTAGTATAATCTTATAATGTAAATTAATTACTTGTTTACAATTTATATAATATGATGTACCTTTAAGAACTTTAATTTATTATTAAACTAGAATATATTCGTTATTTTGTTTATAACATGATAATATTTGAATTTGTTTTAATAGTATTACAATTACAAAGTAAATATTACTAAGAGAAATTTTCTTTTCTTTTTGAATACATAAAAACAACACATGAAACAGTAAAGAATTCATAATGAGTTTCTATTGATTGAAAGGGGATATGGAGATATAATTGGATTTAGTTATAAAGTATAAAGTTATGAGGTGTTATTTTCAATCAATGAGTATTGAGAAACAGAGTATTGCATTAATATATATTTAAAGAGTGATTTATGCATAAATTTATTTAATATTGTTACCGCTCATTTACGTTTAACCTACATAACGCTTTAAATATAAACGTCTTAACCGTTCCTTTGAACTCTTACAAAGAAATAAACAATGACAGAATTAAGGTCAATAAGAATCAATCAACATCGAGATGCAGAGGACAAGCTGTGAATGACATGTGGAGAAATTCAAACACTTCACTTCTAACCGAAGTTTGTGCTGATGATGTCGTTCTGAAGGACGATGAAAGCTCCACGACCAAACCATCCAGCTCAGAGAACAAACCAACATCAAAAAGAATTCTTAAAATCTCCAAACCCCAATGAACAAGGAAGATAAAAATATGAAATAAGCTTTACTTCTAAAGTTTATTTCATGTAAAGCAAAAATAAGAGGAATCTATAGGTTTACAAGTGGCTTTTAGGAATACAAACGCTTTCAGAAAGTTGGCTAAAAGTATCGACACAATTCCCAATTGAGAGGTCGAATTGATTAAAAATAATAGTTTACTACCTGGATTATCCACTAGACGCTGAACGCGAATAAAATATATATTACAGAAATCATCAAATTCCATCATGAGGCGAACCTTGACTTGGAATCCTGAAGGGAAAGGAAATAAGGAAGGCCAAAGAACACATTGTGACAAGAATTGAAAGCAGATGTCGAAAGGATGAACAGCAATTGGGAGCATCTGGAAAGGATTGCCCAGGACACATTTTGATGGAGAATCCTAGTAGGCGACCTATGTTTATCCATAAAGAGTGATAGGCGAATGCAAATAAGCAAGTAAGAACACTGATATATCGCGACGATAATAATGGATTTTAACTGTTCGTAGCTATTTATGGACTAGTACTATACATCTGTTTTTATTGTATAATTGTTAAGTAACTAAACTATGTATATTCATATTGCTCTTGTTATGAGGTTTATTGCGACTTATAGATTATTATTATACGATTTACCATTCTTAAATTATACCCAGTTTATATATTACACTCTTTCACATTCACGGCCACTTTTGGCTAGATCTTGTACAAATGTTATTTTCAATTTTATGGTTTGATGTGATCTGTTTGGTTTACATATAAACTCAGCATTTTTGAAATACATGATTCATATCGTGGAGGCTGAAATTGGTGTACAGAACTCAACAAAACGGGTTAGACAGGAAGTAGGATCAATAAAAACTCTAAACTGCTCGTACAGGTTTATGAATCATTGGTCACTATTCTTTAATTGGCGATATCATTAAGTTATATATTAAAAGGGCACAAGGTCATAAGTTATAACAATTACGCAATAATTCTCCTATAACAATGATTGTCTAAAAGTTATTTCAGGCACTTTCTTGGCTTCTGGCCGATTTTTTAAAGGAATAATAAATATCTAACAAGTTTATACAACATATATACTAGTTCACTTAGTATTGTTTGTTTGGATCTTCCCATCGATGTGTTTAGGACTGCAACTGGTCAGTCTCTAATTGGCATATGTGCATACTGTGCGTATTGCCTCGATATACCTTAATTCACAAGCATGGTTAGCAGAGATGGATAGTGGAATCCCAGAGTGAACATCAACTCTGAGATGCAGGTACATCCAGCTGACGAGTCCCAAATAGGACGAAACGCGCGTCCTGGATTCCACTGCTAGCCACTATCCATCTCTGCTTATATATACTAGTTATTCTTAATTATCTAACATATTTAAAAAATCAATAAATTAGCTAATTTAATGTAAAATATCAACATAAGTTAAATTGAAGCAACTAAGTGTTGAAGCAGCTATTTCATTTTAGTTTTATAAAGTATTTGATATCTGTATATTGTGTAAAATTGCAATGATTAAAATCATTTTTAAAACTGATATTTGATTGTTTCAAGTTAATTTAATTTCTTAAAGTTTTATTTTCAATAAAAATTTAAATTAAATTCACTATGATTTTTTGTTTTAATTAAAAAATAAAAAAAAGATCAATATTAGATTTATCATACAAAGCATCTACGATTCTTTGGAACAAATTAACTTAAATTATACTAGTCTGAGTAAATTATTTTTCGGTTTTTATTATACAGTGAATAAAACAAATAATTGAGGTGAGGATAAACTACACTGTCGTTCGCAATTATGACCTTGGACCTGACAACCGTCCAAAATGAAGCGGGAGTTATTATTTACACGGTTGTAATCCATGATAGAGGTCGTGTTTCATTCTCTATCATTTTTGACGGCCTATATAAAAAATATATATATATAAAACAAGTTCTCTACGACGAAAATGTCAATCCATCATGCTACAGATATGTCGAGTGTAGCTCACTCAGTCATAATGGAAGAAAAATTACAACAAAGCAAAAATCATCTCTCCAATTAATTCTGGAATAGAAAATGTTTCAAATTATCTACAAGTGAATGACTAAATGAACGAAAGCATAACCTTAATTACTAACTACGATGTGCTCAGATGACTTGACAACGTAGAGCTTATATATATATATATATATATATATATATATATATATATATATATATATATATATATATATATATAAACATACCTAGACATTATTCGTCCTCTTGATGTACTTCCGTATGTGGAACCTTCACGATCTTGACAACTCATTATACTTGATGCTTTCCATTTGGTTACTTGAGTTGCATCTTCTATAATTTTCAATGATTTAGCATAGGACATATTCAATTCTCTCGCAGCACATTCGTGTAGTTTGTTGACTTCTTCGAACAGATAATTTAATATCTGAAAAAATGTATGGCTAAATAAGATTTAAATAATTTTGTCTACATTATGATTTAAAAAAAAGGGAATCCTGGTTGTTTAATGAAAGTGGAAAATCTAGTGACCAAAATAACAACTGGATGGAGACTAGTTACAAATCGAAACTATGTTTGAAAATATAGTTAAATAGAACGTAAACAAACGATGGTGATTTTAAGTGATTGGAAGTGACCGAGCGAAAGATCTGACTGGATTTATGTTTCATACTAGCTGGTGCTTGTCAGAAATTTGCTTCCAATCCTAAATGAATTAATGTCTTAATCGGAACTCGAACTCTTATAATCTATTATTACAGTCTAAGTCGTAACCTATCTGGAAATTTAAATCCAAAGAATCACCGTGACCTTCCCTAACTCGATATAATTGACAAAGTCAATATTAATTATAGAATAAATGACCTACGAATTGGTTTCCTTCAAATGCCTATGGCATTCAATCATGTTTATTTCGCTGTTCATACTTCGTATGTTATTTTAAACCAAAAATGCCTATTCTACTGAAGAGGTAATATTGTGTTCCAATATCAGTTGAATAGGTGAGTTGACGTCAATAAATTTGTCTCGTCAACATTCATTATTTTTCCACACCATATCACTGAATTTTATCAATGAGTCTTTCATTTTAACAATCGAAAAATTTATTCCTCAGATCATAAAATTGCACTTCAAAATATTGATTAAAAAAATACTTAGAAATATTCACGGCACATTTGAGTGAGTTTTTACACTGGTCATATTAAAGCGTGATCAATAGAGTTAGATCAACACCGTATACTAGACAACAGGATATTCATTGACTAATGATTGGCTAATTAGTAAATCCTGGTTAGTGGTTTAGATTCAGACCACTGAGCCGGCACTCAGTTGTTTGAAAACCCCGCTTCATTGAATTTACTACATTGCTCAATCATCCAATAAAACATCATTATGTTATGATAAACAATGCTAACTTGGTGTTAGTTAGAAGGCAAATTTTAACGTTAACATGATAAATCAAGATTTCTATTAAGTTCGTTTCTACATCAGAGTCTTACAGAACTGTTGAAAAAAAGGTATATTATCTAGATAATGTTGAATTATTGAGTATAGTTCATTTTACCATTTCAGGAAACCTTATTACTTACAAACCAGACATCTGAAATTGGAAACAATCATTTGCTTTTAATAAATATACAAATTTGTATACGCTGATTATACTAAATAAAAATGAAATATCAATTATCTCTTCAATTTTACCTGAAAAAAAGACTTACAGAGTATATTCGATCACTGAATTGTTTATACGTCGACACAAGAACAAACAATGCATCACAGCAAGCCATTGTACCTCTTATGAAATACATTAGAAATTAATAAATCAATATCAGATTACCATACAGAAAAATTTGGAACTATAGAAAAATTATAATACACCGCGCTATTCAAATCAGATTATTTATAGAAATCGATTGTTCAAGCTAAGTCGGCCTAGATAGAGTACATAAAGGATCAACCTCAAAGAAATGAAACAGACTTCCAACAATAAAACCAGTCTGATTTGGGTAACCAAACTTTGTGATCGGCTTTATTTAAAATAATTCCATCCAATCTGTGAATAGTTATGAACATATGTAGAAATCTTAATGACCGAAGATCGCATTTCCCCATATGTCTTAAACTGGAAGTTAATGTGGATGTGGACGGATATTATGCCTTAGATTGAATACCACATAGCTCCCCTCTCACTAGCATTAATCTCAACTAGTATTACACATCACGGTAGATATTAATTCAACAATTGTTTCTTGCAGACGTTCATACTAACAATATTTTTTGCTTAAAAAAAATCAACGAAAGCTTCTTTCATGACTGAATCATTGAAATGAAAAACTAAAGCACTACTGTGTCATAATACCTAACAACTATTCTTTTATTTATTTTAAAAAGTTTCATTCAAAAAATTTCTTTAACTGTCAAGAATCAAATAAAAATTTGAACAATATCAAACAGTCTTACTCATTTTCAACTGTATTCATTTTATCCACTAAACAATTAGTTAAATAATCATAATTCATCGAAGATGCTCTGTAATTAATATGTGCCTATAATTAAAGAAAACAAAAAAGGCGATTGTATATCTTCATTAGTTATTTTCTTGATTTATTCATTTATTTAAAATGAATAGCTCTAGCACTGATTGAAAATCTAACTGGATGACATATCTAAGACAGCTGGATCATATTACACAATAATAACCAAAGTATAGCCAAAACACAATGAACAAAAATTGAGATATAGTAGAAGACTACGAAATTACTGTTCTTTAGTTCAGTTTTTGGGGCAAAAGTTAATAACTAATTTGATTAGTCTGTTTATTCATTTCCTATCTGTTCAATAATTACTTGTATTGAATTGTCCATAATTGCAAATCCTTTTGTTGTTTCGCAGTTCGGTTTAAGCAAATCAACTTCTATACAAAAGGTTTAACTTAAATTCCAGAATATACAAACTAACCTCTTGTTAATGTTATTTGGTATGGTTGTTTTCGTATTTCTGTTTTCATTGTTTATCTGAATAAAATTAATGGCAGCCTAATTCAAAGCTATTAGTTTCATTAAAGTACAGAATTCCCAGCAGCAATTGTGTAGTATTACATGAAAAAACCCTTTAATATGAATCCAAATGACAATCATTCATAACATGTTTTATCAATGTTTTTTAACACTCAATATCTTTCACTCATATTCAGCTATTGAAATATTTTAGCAGTTTAACTGTTACAACAGGTTTTTTCTCATCCGTCATACATAACGTGCATGAATTACAATATATTGATCTATTGTCTCTCCGGATTATTGATAAGAAGTAAAATATAACAAGTGGAATGTTTCTGTTTGAGTTCCCTAGTATTTATTATCACAAAACTCTGTAACACCTTTATAACAAAGTGTGATCACATACAGTTTATACTCATAATTATTGAGTGGAGGAAAATCTAACGCGGATAGTTTAATTGAAATAACTGATGAGCTAAAAAATACATGGCCCCCAAACACTTGAATAGGTGTTATTACTGAAAACTTTAATTGGTTGTTGCTTTTTAGTCTATAAGGCTTTTTTATTTCGTTTACAAATTTGTCAGAAACATTTGGAAAAGAGTCATCAAGGAAATCTCAAATTCACATTTCAATTCGCTCGTTAGCTGAGTAAAACTTGATTACAATATGACTCAAACGTGGTATGTATCGATTCAAACGCTAAATTACTGACAGTCATAATGACCCCCACTTATTTAATAGATACAATATTAGTGATTTATTCATAAAAATAGATATTTACAGGTGAATTAATTAGTCACTGTCAATAAATTGACTGTTGGATACTGGATTACATTCCTTTAAAGAATGTGTAACATTTCACTGAACGGTACCTAGACGTATAAAATGCTTATCCTACATCTCATTACTAACCACTACCCCAAAAATTTTAACTCATTCATTTAATTTGTTTATGAATTAGTGCTAAGGTAATGTTATACACTAAGTATATATATATATATATATATATATATATCGCCACATTACAATACAATTCCATGGGTTTATTTGCAGTTTAAAATAAAGACAGAATAATGACTTACTTTCTCCTTTTTATCTGTACTTCGACTCCGACTATAACTTTGATTAAGATTACGCTTATGTCGATTTACACGATGTGCCGTAGATTCCAGTTCTTTTAATTGAGGCTATAGTATTAAATTTATATATGTATATATAAATATATATAAATGAAGAAAAATAATTTCGTTTCCTTTAAACAAAATCAAATTAACTAGCGAAACTTTAACTTGGATGATCATACATATATTTAGTGGTGGCATTAAAGTTAAACCACTGGGTCACAGGTTCAATCCCCAATCTGTATGAACAGTCCGATGACATTACTAATAATGACTTAAAGTTAATTACATAAGCTTATACTAGTAAATTAGTTATAACAACTTAATGATGATAAGATGCTTGCCTTTATTAATCGAAGTAAAAAGAAAAACATTCGTTAAAACAAGAAAATTATTAAACTATTTAATACTTATTTGACAATTTTAATTGAAGTATTAAATTTTCAATTATTTAAATAAAAGTTCAATTATCTCTCTATCAACAATGGTTCAAACAGTAAAATACAATGTGATTTATCACCTGGTATATGAAATAAGAAATAACAGCTAAGTTTCATGATTATCTCAAATGAAAATACATTTATGTATGATTAAATAAAGACTATTCAATGAGATAAAGTTTCTTTCCGACAATATTATTTAACCCAGTTGTACAATGGTACTTTTATTGATTTAAAACAGAAAAGTTTGTCAACAAATATAGTTGGATCATGTCAAAATTCTTTGAGATAAACTGAAGATTAAATAAATTTGATATGATATTCAAAAAAGTAACATAAAGTGGTAAGATGAATGTAGATTATAGATGAGTAGCAATTGTTCCATCGATTAATATGAGAGTTGTTATGATTAAATATTGTCAAAGTTAATTGATAAGTCTAGGAAAACACTAAAAATGAGTAACAAAGATTGATTATCAAGTTTAATAGGTAGGAAGGAACTTAAGACCAAGGTAGGATGAGCAAACGAACATTTTCCTGTTACACAAAGATTAGGCATGACTCGATGGATTTCTAGGTCATTTGTGTTACTCAAGTTTTTAGTTTGTTTTCCTTTAGGACAATTTATGGTGAGACGATAATTTATAGATGAATCAATCAGATTTACGACAACAGGTCTTCAATTTTGGAGGGAAATTCATTCGTCCATTTGGCTAAATAGAGTTTTGTAGCATTATAGCTGATATTATTTAGTGATTAAAATCAAAATCTAACTCCTAACCCTAACATCTGACTGTAAATCTTAATACGGATTCCTTACAGTAATTAACAACCCTCTTTTGACCCTAGTAAGTAGGTGAATATTCTCAAGCTTACTTTAGCATCGCTCGAAGATAGTCCACAAATTACAGCATCATCCAATTTATTTTATTTTATGGACATCTTTGAGTGAGAAATATGGTACAGGAAAGGGACTCAGATTTAACTAATTCTAGATCTGAACTATTGATGGAACTACATGTCAATTTTAACAACCAAGTAGAGTAATCCTGAGTAACGCGTTTCGAAAGAGATCACTGTATGCCAAATGTAACCTGCTTTGCAATAAAACATTAATTTAATAAGTCAAAGAATCAGAGGTTAGATGGAAGCAATACGAAGTGAAGAAGAAGAGGATATTTTTTCTCGAAAATCTCGAAAGTTTGCTTTTCATGATTGATACAACTTTATTTACTCTAGATTTAAAATTCCTGAAAAAATTCACCTTTGTGTCTATCGTTGGTCTTTCATATTGGTGTTTTGGCTTAATACTTTTACTATATATATAGGAGAGTAATCATTATTGAGAAGTATCTCCTAGATTTTATCTAGTCAGTTGCATATCATGTCACTGGTGTGAATTTGTCTGCTTTTCAAAAGTGAAGAGACTATCAAGTTTCTCTATCAGATCGACGTGATTCAACTAGATAGATAGTTTTCATCACAGATTACCTTCAACTAGAAAAAGACTAGCATAATTAACTTTTAAAAAAAATGATAATTAACCCTAATTTCAGTTATGCTAAGTTATTTAATCTACTAAAATTAATTTAAAATTTACTTCGTACAAGTTAGTTGAAGCATAATGATATATCAGATTATAGATTGTTATCAGCAAATTATTGGTTACTAGTATAAATCACAACGTTTATTATCATGTCATCAAAATTCTCCCTGATAATCATTGAAAACATGAAAAATGAATTCCATGTAAGAGAAATAATTCATTAATACAATAATACATAACAATATCGTTTGAACTAACCTCTAAATGTTTATATTTTGCCATTTGTTTTATAATAGGCTCTGGTAACAATTTATTCAATGTATCCGTTAATTCGAAATGAGCACTTTCTAAATCCTTTATTTTATTATTCACATAAAATGAATAGTAATAATAATAAAGTCAACATGAATTGTGTTAATAAATAGGCAATTGAATTATCTACAAGCAAGTGGTTATCAGGACTCATTGACCGAGTGGATAACGCAATGGCGTTTGAAGCGAACAGTACAGGGTTCAAGTCCCAGAGTGAACATCAACTCTGAGATGCAGGTACATCCAGCTGACGAGTCCCAAATAGGACGAAACGCGCGTTCTGGATTCCACTGCTAGCCACTATCCATCTTTGCTTACAATGCTTGTGAATTAAGGCTATATCGAGGCAATACGCACAGTATGCACATATGCCAATTAGAGACTGACCAGTTGCAGTCCTAAAACATCAATGGGAAGATTCAAACAAACAATATTAAGTGGATTTAATTGAATTATCTGCTAGAATTCTTTTCTTTCCATAACACTTCAACTTGATACATTGTACTTCATTTCAACAGAAATCAAAGATATGAGTCAACTTAACAAATAATATTTTGAAGAGAATTTTCAGAATCAAAAGTGTCGAGCAATAATTTAAACGAATAATCTTGTAAGAAATATGTATGAACATTTTAGGAATGTAAACGGTAAGCTGATAAATCAATTCTACTATCTTGAAGAATATTTTCATGAGTACTGAATAATTAATAAGTTTGTGTGAATTATCACCCGATTTTAAAGTGAATGTATGAGGCTAATTTGTTAATTTTCAATCTTCTAAATGGTACTCTACATATTGTACTTTTAAAATATGATCAAAAAATGAATTGTTCTTTGAAACAGAAAAGTAAGAATCAATAATGGATTATTATCAGAAGGGGGTTTCGTGGAAATTTTAGTTATTTTTTTATAGTTGAAATCATGAGTCAATCAAAGCTAGACTACCATGGAAAACCTGGAAGCACTGGATGGTCGTTTCATCCTATTGTGGGACTCCTCAGCAGTGCACATCCACGATCTCACCTCGCGAGATTCGAACCCAGGACTAATCAGTCTCGTATATGAACGCTTAACCTTTAGACCACTGAGCTGGCATCCAACAGTGTTAATGTCTAACTCCAAACAATCCACAAAACCCCCTTCTGATAATAATCATATGCTCACTGATGACTGGCCCCATGAGGTATTACCTAAAGTTCCAGTGAGAAGCAATCACCGGCAGAGTTCAACTGGGTCTGTTGTGAGATAGTAACTCACTGAAGACAATGGTGGACGGTTGCTCAATTTCGTGGATTAGTTAAAGTTAGACATGAACACCGTTGGATGCCAGCTCAGTGGTCTAGAGGTTAAGCGTTCGCGCGCAAAACGGATAGGTCATGTATTCGAGCCCTGCGTGCGTGATCGTGGATGCGCACTGCTAAGGAGTCCCACAATAGGACGAAACGGCGATCCAGTGCTTCTAGATTTTTTATGGTGATCTAGCTTCAATCGACTTATGATTTCAACCATAAAAAATAGTGGACTAGTTAAATTATAATATTAGATTGATTTAGAAGTTTAATATAACTAAAAATAACAATAGAAATGTTTTTTAAAGTAAATTTTAAACAGATAAACATTAAAAAATATAGAAATTTGTCTTTAAGTATTTTTATTGTATGGTCTACTCATCTGTTAAACAAACGAATGTTAACCTTTAAACACAATCTCCTGTTAATTTTTCATAGTGAAGTAAAATGTTCACAGAAGGCAATGTATCGTTTCCCGTCTCTCCCAAAAAACAGACAGTGATTTAAATTCACTTAGTATTGTTTACTTAGATCTTCCCATTGGTGTTCAGGACTGCAATTGATCAGTCTCTTATTGGTATATGTGTATGCTGTACGCATCGACTCGATATTGCCTTCATTCACAAGCGTTATAAGCAAAGATGGATAGTGGCTAGCAGTGGAATCCAGAACACGCGTTTGGTCTTATTTGGGACTGGTCAGCTGGATATGTCTGCGTCTCAGAGTTGAGGTTCACTCTGGGACTCGAACCCTGTACCGTTCGCTTCAAACGCCATCGCGTTATCAAGATTCAAGTAAGCAATACCAAGTGAATTTAAACATCACCTCATTGCAGTTCGCTCTGTTCTACTTTACGGCTGCAGAGCTTGGCCAATAAGAGTAGAAGATACTCGTAAGTTACTAGTATTTGACTACAGGTGTCTTAGAAATATCACTCGCATCTTCTGAGATCACCGGGTAAGTAATAGTGAAGTTCGACGCAGGGTACGAGGGAATTACTGTAAATCAGTTGATGAGGTCATGAATCTTCATCGACTGAGATGTTTGGGTCACGTGTTGTTACGTATATCTGAACACCGATTACCACGACGCGCAATGCTGACTAGTGTAGGGGGTGGTTGGAAGAGAGTTAATGGCGGCCAAACCAAAACGTGGCATCAGAATTTGAAGTCACTAACTTCTAGTCTAGCCATGTTGGTAAGTACAGACTACTTGATTGGGGTCCGCGTGACTATCGTAACCAATGGTTGGAGACTCTAGGTGACATGACTCAGAATCGATCACAATGGCGTAGGTGTATACACTCTTTATCTTCCCTTAAACCTTGAGATTAAAATTGCTTCATAACTTTCTTCCTATACTATATCCTTATATACAATCTTTCTTTTATATACTACCACCACTAAATTAACTACTTCTATGAATTTGGTGTTCATCTTGTTGTTCTAACGAGGTATGGCAATTTGAACTGATGCATATGTGTGCCTGGTCCTACGTTGTTGCTGACTGATTGACTCACCCCAATGCACAAGCAAGGGGCTATTAGAACTCAGTAGCTAAGTGGGTAATGCGATGGTGCTTGAAGAGAAAAGTATTGAGTTTGAGTCCCGGAGTGAACATCAACTCTGGGATGCAAATACATCCAGATGACGATTTCCAAATAGGACGAACCGCGCGTTCTGGGTTTCAATGCTAGCCACTATCCATCTTTGTTTATGAAACAGTTATTTTTTTGTTATATATATAGTCAGTCTACTCTGGGTATTCTGTTTATTTTTTACATATTACCTGACTCTTTCTATGAGAATGTATATCTAGGAAACCTAACATTTAAATGCATTTACTCCACCTCGACAGATTTATATCTCTGATAACCGGCTTTCATTCAACTCAAATAGTGATAATGATCATCTGTTCTTTGATTGAATAATATTTAATTTAGTAATTTTGAACTACTATTCTAAATAAAAGAACAAACTATTAATAGTGAGATTTTGCCAAAATATATTGAATTAGAGAGAAGTGTGGTGCAAAACAATATTAAATAAATGCGTGTGAGCCATCAACAGAAACGTGGAAAAAAATAGTATTTCAGATCAAATTTGGGAAAGCTTAAACATCTAGAATTATTCTGTTATGAGTTATTGTCTGTATTTGAAATGTTGTATTGTTGTGTTTTCCGTATTGTAAGTCTTTAGGTAATGCACAGACTGTTGCTATACACTTTCCCTCCTTCAAGTTATTTTTATTAACAGTGGACCTTTTATCCAGTTATCCTTCACTTATAGCGTAGGAATGTACGTAATTTACTTTTCTATTTGTTTCTTTGCGGTCAGCCATTTGATCCATACTACCATATGATTTCGCGTTATATGTGAGCTGTACAACCGGAGTTTTATCAACATGCTATATTCGTTTTCTGTTTGATTATCAGACTAAAGGAGGAAGCTGTTTATCGGACCAGTAGTTGTTAGGATACTCATAGTTATCGTATAGTGAGCTAAACAGTAGATCACTGATATTATAAATAATAAGAGAATCAGTCAATTAATGAACTCAATAAATCAGATCCTTACATTATTAACGGTCCGGTCATACACGTCCTAATACTGTTCAAAAAGTATTTCTTTAAAGACTAAGAAGAAAAGTTTATTGCTTTAACAATACTGCTCATGAAGAAATAATCGGAGCTATAGAACTATTGATAAGTGGGATGAATTTCAACTTTTTCTCAATGACTATTTGTACTAAAATTGCATTGAAAATCAAAAATTTCCAAATAATCATAAATAAACTCCCTATTTAGTCACAAATAAAGTTTTCAAAGTTTAAGTGAGAAACGCGATTGCGTCAACCATACTGAAGTGAGGGACTTAAACGATATTTCATTTATTTTAGAGGTTACTTGAATTTCAAAGATATTTACTATTCTTCAAAAGATTCAAAGTAGTCCACCTTTTAGAAAAATCTGCAATGTCATACCGACTTTAAATTCAGAAGAATTAAAAGTTGTACATTTCTTTGGAATTCACATAAAGTGAAACATATACTCAGCACATCATGATTTTAACTAATTCTCTAATAAAGTTCCAGATATAATTACTAGTATTGACGACAATAATAATAGTAATATTGACTTACATGTATTAAAGGAAATATCATACTACATGTTGTATTGGAATTGAGATAGTGAAGAAGTGATTTTAACACTTCACTTATTGAATCTGTTGACTCTTTGAACAAAAACAAGTGGAATTAAATAAACAAGTCATTTTAAGTTTTAAAAACAAAAGTATGTATTATTATTGATTTATCTTCAGTACATACTAACTGATAATAACACAGGAATAAAGAATGCTATTTTTACACTGTAGTGCTTTTCAAGAATCCATGAAGTTTTTAATGCTCCATATAATTTCATTGAAATAGTCATTCTCTGTGCAGTTTTACTATAGAAGTAAATAGAAATAAGTCTCACACTCAATTCAAGTAGGTGTTCAAGTGTTTACATACTATTAATTGAAACTAATTTAGCAAAACAAGTACTTGTACAGTCAAAATTGTGTAAGCTATAAACCTCGGATAACTTGATTTCCTAAAAATATTTGAAGTGATAATGAAAAGCACAGCAGTTAATAAACACTAAGGATACTACAACCAAATGAATGAAGTACGACTCATAAATACTTACAATCCTGCAATGTTATGTAATGTTATGTGAAGATTTATTTTGGATTGATAAGCGATTTTCACAGTTGTGATCCAGATATAATTTGTGAATATTCTGTTAGTTTGGTCAAACTTCAAGATTCACTTTCCCGACAATAGAAAATTGATCACCCTACCTTATGACAATTGACTTAGAATAATGCTACCAAACTAAGCTTGCATACATCTCTTTGCAACCTAAAAACTAATAAATAGTTTCATTAGTGTGAAATATATTTGCTTTTAGTGGGATAACGGAGTATTAATTATTTGTCTGGGTTAACGTGCCTCTTCTTCACAAAAATACTTTTGTAATATAAATTCCTTTTTTTATGGGTCTGAGCGTTTTTATTAGCCATAATCATTACTTACCGCTTGTAAATTTCCAAAACATGAAGGCATGTATTATAAAATATACATTTTGTCCAGTGTTTGGTTACAGCCTGATCATTGTTTGTGAAAGGTAACTAGCACCAAGAGTAACAGAATGAAGTTTCCTGTTACTCAATATCTTTTAATTCACTCTGGATTTTATGCACAAGACGATTCATGAAATAAGACTTCAAATATTTGATAAGGCAGAGAAGTCCATGCAGTATTGAGACATTACCAAATTGTCTTTATTTAATATCATATTAGTCCAAAGCTAACTGTCGACTGTTTTAAATATAATACAAAGATGTATTAATCTGTGAATATAATAATCACCTGTTTGTACACACTTTTCCGGAGGAAAAAAGGCTCGTTTACTATCCCGAGTAAGAATTCTGAGATTACGAAACTGTAGGATTCATGGAAAAGTTATGGAAAAATATTCGATTTTCAACTTATTTTATGCTAGTAATAGTTTTGAATGTTGAAGGGTATAGTTATCTCATAAACTAAAACCTAGAAAGCTTAGTGTATAACCTATAAAGGCCATGTTTATTCGACTTCTTAAACAGCTACAAAACATGTGATAAGAAGTTGTGATGGAAATTCGGTCCCAACCGTTTGACGGACGCTGACAGAAAACCATATAAGTTCCTTTAAATTGGTACGATTTTATGTCATTATTTTGCTGTTATTCCAGAAATGAGGGTGGTTATTGCTCGTAGGACATAATTCATTTTTCATGATATCACTCTTGTTGCACAAAATAATGGTAAATCTGACTCCATACATTGAGACAGTTTGATATTTCTATATTGTGTCTAGGATATATCTATTTAAACCTTTTTGATTAATCTCAAAATTTAAATAACGGTTAAATGATCAACATAAACTTCTTAGGACATTTTTGGAGCTGTGTGTTCTTTAGAAACAATACTATCTATGAATGATGATGTTCAAAAACTTGTGGTACACCGATTCCATAGTTTCCACATTCAAAATTATGAAACTGTCAGATTATGCCCGACAGTTAACCATTTGTCAGAGCCGAATGTGACGTTTTAAGCTGTCTTTTTATCATGTAACTGTAACGAGAAATAACTAGGATAATTGGCTTTCAAGCTAAAATGATAAAAATAGATATTTTGGCAAGATTATAGTTTATAGAAGAACCAATAAGATTTAGGAAAACAGGTCTTGAATTTCGAAACGAAGTTCATCCATTCATTTGGTTAAACAGATTTTTGGCACTATACCTTATGTCAGTTGGTGGTGAAAATCAAAATATAACTTATAACTCTAACCATCGACTGTGAATCATAGTCCTAGATCCTCAAACTGGTTTAAAACCCTCATTTAGCTTTAATAAGTAGGTGGGCATTCTGAAGTTCACTTTGGCGTCACCCAAATGTCGCCCGCAAATTAAAATATCACCCATATTTTAATAGCAACTCAGTACAACTGAACTGACAGTTTGTTTGAGAAATCTCAAATAATAAGCCAATAGAAAATAAGACAAATCCTAGTGTAACTTTCTCAAGAGTCAGATTTCTACCAGTTGTAGTAAAACTAATAAAAACATTTCTGACACTTTATCTTAAAGGTTTAGTGACAAAACACAAGTGAACCATAAAATTTTAATGGAAGATTATTCAATCCATAGACCACTAATATCGGTGCTCTATAGTGCCTATTGGCCAGACCTTTAATAGAGCAAATGTCAGTTGTATGCACAAAAATAAAAGTTAATAGTTGACTATGGTTTTGCCTCAGCTTACTATTCGGTTTTCTAGTTTTTCACGTCAAGGCTAGTTTTAGTTTATTCTAACCTTTCGTACCATTCGTTTTTATCCATTTTATCCGTTCTGAGTGTACCTCTTTTTGTTTTACGGTCGTAGACGTTTGCTATGATCTATCAAACAATTCACATCACCATAGTCATGAAGAATTTATGCAAGCTACGAGGATGCAGTTTTGCTGTCACCTCTGGCATGCAGTTTGACAAATGAAAAGGTTGGCTCCCCGAAGCATGCACAGATCTTACAGTACATGTTTAAAACAGACTCAGCAAGTCGGATCGTAGATAGGCATATGGCACGTGCAACACAAATGCCGAGGATTTGCTGCGCAACATCATAATTCTCTTGATAGGTCTGCGAAAAAAGTTGTCAGCAAACCTGAGAAAAGTATCCCTAAAACGGATAAACAAACAAAGGCGCGCAGTGAAGAAAGGACGTTAGTTTCGACAAAACATGCGTAGACACTAGTGAGGACATGCTGAAGCTCAGAATCATCATAGCATCAACGGTACTAGACTCCTCCATCAAACTTGGGTCTCCCAGCATAGGATCTCTGAACGCAACAGTAGTCCCTGAAAACTCTGTAGGCGATTGAGCACTCGTTAACAAAGTTAAAAAGGACCGGATATCACTGTCCAAGAAGAAGAACATCTCAGGTATTGTAGTGAAATCAACTTTTGATTTGAGTGAACAGTCTACCCTTAATACTGTTCAACCAGTCAACAAGGAGCACAAGAATTTGAAACGCTCTTCAACCGCCAAACAAAAAGGTCTTAAACCTAGACGCACCCGTAAACCTGGAAAAACGATCACAGCTCGCCGCGATTTTCTCATGATCATGAACCTTAAAGACAGATTCGACAGATTCAAGACAAAAATGACAGGATGCTCTGAGAGGAATTAAGAAGGAAGCTCGAACTTCCCAAAATAGAGTCTTTGAAGATAACATGGCTCACTCGGCGAAAGAACTCTAAGCATCAAAATCACCCAAAACTACTTCGTGTAACGCGTGCTAATGCTACTGACGTAGAAGATGTGTTATTGGCTAGTCATTTACTAAAATCAGATTGGAATGTAGGAATACTGCCTGACATACCGTATTATGAGCGCAATCTCATCATAAACATCCCTAAGAAATCTCGCGAGAAGTTTTTTCGCCGAAGAAATAACATTGTGCAAGGTGTGCAGAAAACATGTACCCTGAAAATACGAGCTCTGACATTGAGGAATGGAAATTCATCGAGCAATCCTTGAACCTCAAAAACATATTGACTCAAAAAGTGGTGAAACTAGCTAAGGAGGACGAAGATTCTAGACCCCTACTGATGAATATAACCTTCCCATCCTCTCATATGGTGGCTGCAACTCTCAGAGCATTAGGTGCCAACAGACGCCGGTTGTTAACTGGAATCTATATGCATCCGGATAGGCCACATGTCGCCAGAATCAAAAACAAAGGCAAGTTGAAGTTGACTATTCAACTTGTGCACTATCAATAATGATAAAAAAAACGTAGGAAAACAGGAGCTAGCAATCCGGAAAACCCTGTGTAAATAGGTTACCTGTCCATTCACTTAAGGCTCATACAGATAAACAGGACGGGGAAGCTCATGAGTTTCAAATTAAAAGCATAAACTGCTTATATATGAACACCGCAAATTTATCAAATAAAATGGATGAGCTGTGTGAATTCAATAATGCTAACAATACTCATCTGATAGAAATATTTAAAACATAGATACCTTCTCAATTTACGGGCCAGGAGCTAGCAATACCCGCGATGTCTTTGTATCGCAATGACAGAAAAAACAGGAATGGGTGGTGGAGTAGCTTTATACTTGCGATCTTGCTCGGAAGTACTTCAAGTGCACAACCAAGAGTTTATCAATCCTGATGAATGTGTATGGTGTTCAGTAAGATTGTCTACCACCTCGAGGTGTCTAGTTGGAGTCATATACAGGAAGCCCACTACTGACATCAAGTATGACAGTCGTATGCTGGAAGCATAACCCCGCTCTACTCGTCTCAGATTCACTCATATCCTGATTCTAGGGGACTTGAATCTTTATAAAATCGATTTCGCGGAACATACGTACATTGGACGTGGAAACTCTACTGAAGATCGGTCCTCCAAACTCATTAAAGATCTGGGAATATTCGAAAGTGTCAAGTCGTCAACTCGTTGGAGAAACAGTCAGACGCCGTCGCGCTTAGACTGGGTTTTTACAAACGAAGAATTCCTAAATGACAACCCCTCAATCCTGAGTTCCTTGGGAGGGGGGCGACCACGCCATCACAGTCTTCAGTTTAATCAGTAAAACTGAGCTAGAACATCCTACCGACAATAGGCACTGGAATTTCAGACGGTTGGATATATCAGCTCTACAGGAAAATCTACAGCAGGTGGACTGTGAAGTTCACCCTCAACTTTGTGTAGATGCTCATTGGGATTTCATACTGCAAAAGATCTTGTGTGCTACAAAGCAGTCTGCTCCGCCAACGGTTCCCAAAATCTACAAGCAGTCTACGGTCATCAAGAACTGCACTCTTCATTTGCTAAGCCACAAAAGGCACTGCTGGGCGGAATACAAACGAAGTGGTAACAACAGCGCATATAGACAATTCAAATAAACAAGGAACATGCGCACGAAGGCAAAAAGAGAAGACAGGCTTCAGTACCAGAGCATTCAAGTTACCGACCGGTCGCTCTTCTCTCTATACCCTCAAAAATTATGGAGCCCCTGATATGCGATGGTACACACGGCAATTTATTGCCTATAAACTTCTTTTCAACCCAACAGCACGGTTTCAGAAAATGTCACTCTTTTATGGTTAACCTGTTGACTGCAATGGACAGATAGACAACCATCCTTGATCGTAAGGGGAATATTGACATCATTCGCCTTGATTTCTCAAAGGCTTTTGATAGGGTCAACCGTATATGTCTTATCGATAAGCTCAAACGATTTGGTATCAAACAACCTCTAATTGACTGGCACACTTCATATCTAAAAAGTCAACATTTTAGGGTCAGGATTAACTACACATTCTTTCGCTTTCTTCTCGATTTATGTGAACGATCTTCTACAGTAGGTACCTTCTGATTCCTTACTTTTGGCTGATGGCGCGAAACTCTGAAGAGGCATACGCAACCAAAAGGATAAACTGACACTTCATGAGGATCTGACTCGACTTCAAATTTGGGCAATTGACAACAGACTTACCTTCAACACTTCAAAGTGTAAAGTGGTCCATCTGAGGCATGTTGGCGACTACGAACACAACCTAGGTAACTCCCTTTTAGATGCATCCCGAATTGAGAAAGATCTAAGAGTTTTGGTACCCCTTGATCTAAAGTCTGACAATAATTGCGACAAAATGCCTTACAAACAAACTGTGCACTGGTAAAGTTGACGCTCACTTTTGACCAGTTCGACGGCAAAACTTTTCACTTAGTCCTCAATAGTGTTATTCGGCCCCATTTAGAGTATGGAAACATATTGTTTCTTCCCTCGATCCAAAAAGATAAGAATGTACTGGAACATATACCATGGAAAGTTTTAAAGTCAGTTCAAGGACTCAAATTCAAACCTTATGAACAACTCCCTAAAAAGCTGAATCTTAACTCATCATAGTTTTAAAGGTGACCTTCTAATGACTTATAGCACTCTGAGCATTCCTGGAAACCTTCTTAAACACCCACTGAAGCTGAGCCCTAATACAAACCTTAGAAGTAACATTCAGAAATTAGAGACACAACACAGCAAAGTGGATTATATGCACACACCTCACTCTTTACTAGTTAAATTCTGGAATTCGTTGCCGACTGAGTTAGTTCAAGAGACTTTTCAGGAGCCTTTGATGAGAAATCTTGATATATTCTTAAGGACTAAGGGCAGTATCTCGTTATGATTTGTCAACCTTTTTCTTATTCACCTAGGTTCCTACTTGAGGGCATCGGTGATCCACTGTTACTAGGTACAGGAGCCCGTTGACTGAAATCTTCTTCTATTTCATCCTAAGCCATTTGAGCAATATGAATGCTTAGAAAGTTCGAAATATTATCGTTAGTCTTCAGTCTTCAGTCTTCAAGAAGACACGATCAATTATCAAAACTTTATAACCAGCAAGTATAAGGCGAACCATACAATTTAACGAATAAGAATAGTTACGGGTATTATTCCATGATAAAATGGGATAAACAAGTGCATTTATGGAAATATACAGATACACAGATTACGGTTCAAAAAGTCACAAATGACTCGTATTTATGAAATTTGACACCAACACACGTTTAAAAACATCTTAAATGAGTGTAAGATGCACCGTTAATGTCATTAATCTATACCACCCCCAACATATGAAAGAATAATAAAACTCATTTGACACAATTACAACTGTGTTCTAAAATACATCTTAGAACTACACTTCGTAAATAATTTCTGCATCAGATAATAAATTACATCACCGAAAAGCAAAGTGCTCACTTCTATTTAGGACGACTAGATTATTTATCTCCTCAAATATAACTGCCATTAGACGCTACAGAGCAATTCATGAATGACTTTGATACGCTTACATGTTTCTGTCGGGTTTTAACCACCAAATCGCCAACGTTTACATCGTCAGGCTCGAAACATCTTCTCCTCTGAAAGTTTACTGGTCAATGAAAACCAAACATACCAAAACTCTAAGTAATTTCATTTCTGTAAAAATTCAGAAATGTGCATAATAGGTTATCACGCAAGTCAAGGTTAGAGTCTAATATTCTAAACGGTTGAAAAAATTACATTTATTTGCGTGAATATAATCGTTACTTTTTCAATGAATTATTAATATGAAACTATCTATTGTGTCTGATAATATTACGGGCTGCATATTCAGCTGATGTTCCACTAGTATCCTGAACTTAGCAAAGTGTAGTCGAAGTTATTATTATTAGTGGCTTTATTCAATATTATATTTTAGTACAATATAGAATTCTCAGTGCGAGGTATTTCAACAAGTTTTTTCTTTACCAAAAAGAACAAAAATAAATGAAAAAAGGTCAAAAAATCTGAGTCTGTACAAATTATCAAATTTGAGACATGCTTAAGAATACAGGCTAGTATGCATAGTCGGAAGTGTTACATAAATAGAGCGCTTCTACTTTTTAAAGGCAGGGGGATTAGGGTGCGAGAAACTAAGAGAGAAAGAGAAAGCATTCTGTCAAAAAAAGAACTTGAGGATGATCTGCCTCTCAATTACGCCAAAGGTTGCCCCGTTGTACGTAAACCCTATCAAGTATAGTACTGAAGATGTCACAGGTATTCGGAGTTTGACAATGTTTTGACCAGTAACACCTATTATAAATCGTACCCACCACTTGAAATCAAAAGACAGAAGCGAGTAGGTTCGAAGATATATTTGATAGTCGTCTGCACCCTTCCGATTCTTGCCAGGTGCAACAAATTAAAGACACTAAATACGCGTTTCCAATATAGAGACTATGCAAACGCTGACTAGGAAAACTTTCGGTTTCTAATAAAGCGATCTAACTGGAACAGCTTTTTACATGTGGTTACCTCTTGAAAATATAAGAAATATTCAACACTACCACCAAATCTGTACTAGACATTACCATCCCTTCTAAAATTGCTTTCAAAACACTTAATCCCTATATCAACCGAAAGACTAGGTCTAAGCTGTGAAAACTAAAAAGAGCTTACTATATATCAACAGTCTTCAGCGTCCTGTAACAAATGTACTCTGAACTCGAAGGAGTGCAAAGTCAACACAACAAACATAAACAGCCAGAAGGACGTACTGCGCTCATCGCTGCATCTAAAGCCCAAAACTTACGTCGGCTCCTTGCAAAACGCATAAGAAGGAACGAAGATTACAACATTCGCTCTTTACTGCACGATGGCGTGACGTATTATGACCAAACCGTCATATACGAACTGTTAAGTGAATGGTTTTCCCAAAACGGTAATACAACTAATACCCCACATATTAACATAAAGTGCACCAGCAAAAATTATCTTTGCACCATAAACTTTGATATTAGGAGTAAACATACCGCCATCAAAACCATCAAGCTGAATACAAGTTCTGGTGCCGATGACATCCCATCAATCCTCCGTCAAATGTCAGGACCGGATAAACAGACGTTATTTATCAAAATATACACAATATCTTTAAAGGCGGGTACATATCCCGAAATCTGGAAGGTAACGTATGTTCTTCCCAAACACAAATCGGGACCGAAAAACCTGATCGAAAACTACAGACTTATAAATATCACTCCCGTTATATCACGCATAATAGAAAATGTGATGCAAAATCAACTATATGATCACCTACTTAAGGAATATCTAGTAGACCCGTCAAAACATGGCTTTATTAGAACAAGGTCCTGCAGTGCATACCTGGTATACTGCTTTAACGAGGTTACCCGCATACATGACCAAAAGAAACTGGTGTTTATACTATATTTCGATATTAAGGAAGCTTTTGATGAGGTACCTCATAACCTCCAACAGACGTCGGTCAGCTGGAGTTGCGAACCCTCTATTGCAATGGATCAAGCCTTTTCTCACGAACGGATACCAAATAACGAATATTAACTCTACAACATCTACACCTTAACCAATAACCAGTGGTGCTGTGCAGGGTAGTGTCTTGGGTCCACTGCTCTTTGTAATCTATATCAACAATATATGCAAGTGCTTTACCACAGGCAAGACCTACCTTTACGCTGATGACTGAGAAGTCATTTATGAAACTGACATTTGCGATGTACGCAGTACTATGCAAACAATCCAACATGAACTCAAGATGGTAGACAACTGGTGCAAACGTTGGAGGTTAAAAGTCAACTCAAATAAATGCGGTTGGCTATGTATTGGAGACACGTCTCTTAAAATAAAACTAGCACTTAACAAGAACACACTGCCTGAAATCACATCAGTAACTGACCTAGGGGTACATTACTCACACGGTCTTAACTTCTCTGAACATATCTCAACTAAAGCATCTCAAATGCGGATATTGCTTGGCTTCATTCTTCACAATTTCTTGCAAAACGAAATTAAAATCACTCTTTATAAAGTCTGTGTAAGACCTATCGTCGAATACTGTTCGTTCTTATTTTCCAAATTACGTCTACTCGATAAACTTGAAGTGGAAGGAATACAACAAGATTTCACCCGCAACATACCTAAGACCGACTGACCCATTGACTACAGTTTCCAATGCCACATCTTAGGACTATAACCCTTTTAGAAAGAAGGCTTAGATCTAATTTGATTCTCTACTTCAAACTCCTCTAAATCCCTACTTATTCCACATGCAATATAGTTCTTTCTCAAGACTCACATGAATACAACATTCGAGACAATGTATCCACGGTCAACTTTGAGAAATGCAGATCGAAAACTCGTGTAAACTTCTTCCTGATCAAGTATGCATTGATATGGAACAGTCTTTTCTCTGAAATACGCATGGCAGATGAATTATATACGTTTGTAAGACTTGTTGATCAAGCCTTCGCTTGCATTGATCTAGCACGATCAAACATATCGGAGTCCCACCCGGACATCATAGGTTCTCTATATGTATAGGACAAATTAGACTCAAAGTTCAGTTCGCCCTATTTTTCTAATTTGCAGTTGTATTAGATACTTTGTCCTGCTTCACTTTTTACTTGAAGTGGATGGGTAACTCACTGAACCTACTGATGCTGCTTAACTAAACTCGGTCGCTAAAGGACACCCACTACTACCCTAAAAAGGCAAGAAGACCGCAGAGTCGACTGCCTACTACCAGTGGGACCCGGTACCCATCAACTGGTTAGGATAACACAAAATAACATCAGCACCAAGTTAATAAGAGTTTCTGTTTGTCCATTCTTCATCAGCTTTCTGCTCCCCTGTAAACTCTGTCCTCTTAACATTAATTATATTTCACTACTCATTGCCTTATCTATAACTAATACATCCCCGTACTTTTCCACCTACTTTGATAAACAACTACCCTATATTATGGCCTTCTTAATGCTTATACTCTGATTGGCAACCTATACTTCATACTATAGTCAATTAAAGCATTGCATCGATGCCTTACCCACAGTCCATATTTTGTAACTGCCTGATAAGTTGGTAAAATGGTACTTACAGAAATAGTGTTCTCCAACAACATATGAAACACAGAGCACTTTGTGAGGTATAACATTTATCCAAAAATTAACTTTAATAGGTCTAACATCACAAAAGGAGGAAGTGTGGATTTAATGACCAGCAAGCATTGATGGTGAGGGCGATTACTTCAATTCATCCATGTTTGTGGGGCAGAACATTTTGTTTGCATCAGGCTTTTTATGGTTGAGAACAAGTCAGTCAATCGGTGATATTGAAGTTGTTCTCCTACGCTCATTATTCAGACTCATGTTTCTAATTTTTATGCTGGATTAGCTATTCTACTAAGACAACCTATAACATGCTAACTCCGACTTTTACACTAGGACTGTGTGGCTGGAATCAGATGAAAATAATCAGACAAGCAAATATATATTGTTATTAGTTTTCTTAACACTTCACTCTCAATGTACACTTTCCATTCTGACAAACAACCTCCGTTATTTCAACCTTCACTTCCCTTCCATCATTTGAACCTACTCCACCTTGTTCAATATCACAACTCATTGTTCTTTATTACCACATTCTCATATCTAGGTGCTCTGATCATATTTCTCCCGGGCAGTAAAATTCAGTATGATGTTTTGGAGCATACTCTAAGCACACTAATGTTATAATTTGTGGATCATGTCTGTGAAAATGACGCGTGCCTGCCCTGGCAGAAATATATTAAATTAATATTTTAGCGCCTTTTGGTTGTGCTAATGGTTATTGTTTCATAATTAGAAATGTCGTACTGCAACTCAACGAATATTTCTGCACCATGGTTTGTAACATCATCAGGTAGCTCAAACTCATTAACGTTATTCAAACCACATATATTTTTTAACTGCTGAAATCTCCGAATCAGTAGACGTGAACGTGTTCTAAGCCAACAAAAGTGTTAAACGTCTAAAATGACACTGCCTATTTCTCGCTAATTAATCTCCAATCGACAACACAATTAGTTCCTCACAATGGTTTCTAGACACCGTCATAAATCATAGTCATCGCTATACAACCACGTAATACGATTGATGAAATCGATGAAACTAATAACAAAAACTCTGTTGGTGGAGTGACTGATAATTACGATTAGATAGTGTTGTGTTTTGTGGATTTCCTTATCGAACATAGATGGTTCCTGCATATTTTTTTTCATCAGTTGCCCATTTGGTAAGCAGCTTAGAACCTTGTAAGTTCAGGTGAAAGTTTAGTTTCCCAATCCTTAGTACAAATCATCAGTGTTAGCAGTTGAGCATATTTCCTGCAAACTGAGGGCATTATTGTCGTATTTATGCAATCACTGACAAAGAATTCATACCATTATCATAAATACAGGTTCGGAGTTATACTCCTATGGTCTAAGACTTATGCTTTCTCTGATAATCAAATGACCTGCACTCAGTTTATTGGCTCATGAGCATCTAATTAACTGTACATCATCTTTGATGATTTTATCTATGACGTACTGATTTCAAACGGATTGACTTATAGCTTTTATTTAACCTAATGGACATAGCTAGGTTATATGCTCAGTAATTTCTT